TCTGTGAACCCCTGCTCACCTGGTGCCAAATCAGTGTTAAATGTCTTGAATACCATACGGTTTGCATATTCTTTGAAGCGTTCCTCCGCCTCCGGGAAGAATCCACTAGAAATGTCAGTAAAGGTATATGTGGCAAAGGCCGAGCCCAATTCCGGCAAAATTGTTTTGGTCGACGCGCCTGTTCCAGCTCCTATAACAAATTAGATTAAATCCTCTATAGCCGAAAGGAAGGATTGCACATGTAAACCTACCAATTTCAAAAATGTGCATTCCCGGATAGCGGTGCGCAATTTGGGCAACTATGCGACTCATCCAGCGGTTATTTGGGCCAGCGGCTAAGCCATTCTCGTATACCGCGAGCATAAGCCCGTCCTGATTCATGTGTTCCAACATGCTAGTGCCGCTGCGGACTACTTCGACAAGATGGTCGCCCACGACCTCCACGAAGCGAATGTCTTTTCGTCCCTCGTATCTAATACAATCCAATCAGCCGCTTTGCTTCCGCGAAACCCTAAACATGAACAAGCGGCAAAAGGAGACAGGTGGGGAGCATGACAACGACAAACCAATTACTTACTTGCCCAAGATCTGCCTGATATCTTCTCTCTCATCATTGAGACATTCAGGCGGTACTTTGGGATGTTCGCAACGACAAACCATGTCAATCATGCGTTCACACCATCGAAGATAGTACCTGAAATGAGGCAGGATCTGATCCCGCTCCTCAGGGGGAATTGATCGAACAACATTGCATATGTACCAAAACGCAACACGGTCAATATCCTTGTAAACCTGTACCTCAGAAGGGGAGAGCGTCTCGCCCATTGCTGCAAGATGACCATCTGGAACAGCAGGCCTCAGCCTGAAGCTTGAAAAGAGCGGTAAGTCATCCTTAGGAGAACCCGGAGAGAATGGTACGAGAGACGCCCCTTCAATCTGGATGCACGAGTTTTTGCCATCTGCTGTATACAGGTGAATATCGGCAGTCAAGCTTCCTTGGGTGTTGGTACGAATAAAGGTCTCGTATTTGAAGGAGCTTTGCTTGCCTAACACAAGATGACTAAAGTGGGTGTTGAAGACCAATGACTCAAACCGCGTGGGAACGTGAAGGGACCATATCTGACCATCGCCAGGGAAGGACCACGCCGCGAAAGCGGTTTGTAAGGCAGTGTCAAGAATTCCCGGGTGGAAGATCAGGTTATCCTCCCATGCCATGCCGGACTGGTCCTCGATCAGGCCAGTGGCATATCCGGGCTTCCGTTGGATTTGTGACACCCCTTGGAAAGGCTTGGAGTAATTATAACCGATCTTGGAAAGGCACCGGTAGAACTCATTCCCATCAACAGTAACAAGGTTGAAGGGATCTGATTCATAGTTGGCAAGTGCCGTGGGACTCGAGGTGCCGAACTCTGTGATAACCTTGCCTTTCGCATTCAATACTTCGTTTCCATCCGCCTTCGCGATCGAATAACAGGCGAATTGAGTGATCATTGATTGCTCAGAAGTATGTACCACATTAACATTGAAGATGACCTCAATACTAGCCCCATCGTCACCAAAAGCAATCGCACGGCCAATTTCTAGGTCGGAAACTTTCAAACAGGAAATCTGCTTCCGCTTGAGAAGCTGCTTTGTAGCTTCAATGGCCATAGAAACATAGCCCGTCGCTGGGAAAACCATCTGTCCCTGTAGTCGGTGTCCACTAAGCCAAGATATTTCGCTCGGACGGAGAATGTTTCGCCATTGAATTTCCTGGAAAGTACTCGCCTCGCAGCATTGGGTACCGAGTAGCGGGTTTGGGGGATTGCGGCGGAATTTATGGTGGTTGGAGACTCGGGATCCTGTCCAGTACTCACGCTGGTGATCGAACGGGTACGAGGGCAATGTAGTGAGAATTTTTCTATAACCTTTAGACCCAGATAGGAGCTGATTGACTGCATTGAATTGAATGCTGCCGGATCCAAGATGCATCCATACGAAGCCCAGGGCTGCGGATAATTCGTGACAGTCATTTTTCATGCGGGTCAAGACACCGGTATAGGGGGCATCGCATCCAAACTCCTCTAGGGTTGCTGTCGCTGGACCCTTCAACGCCGGGTGTGGTCCGATTTCTATACTTAAATCGAACGGTCCAAGCTCAGAGACGGCTTGAGATACAGCACTGGAGAATAAAACTGTGTTGCACATGTTGTCAACCCAATAAACCTCAGAAAGCAATTCCTCTGACATCCTTTGTCCTTCAATAACACTTGAGAACCACACTGGCCCTGTTCCTTCATTGACCCCTATTTCACATGATCTCATGGACTCTAGATAGGGAGCTGCACAGGGCGACATGTGCGCAGAGTGATAGGCGGTATCAACCTTCAGCTTTCTAGCAAATTTCTGCTCTGCCTTCAGCATCTCGAGGGCCTCATCGATCATTCTCTCATCACCAGAGAGGGTTATACTAGAGCTGGAGTTCACTGCCGCAACCTGAATGCGACCTTTGAAGCGTGGATCAGCACAGATGTGCAGAGCTTCGGCATGGGAGGTGCCAACAGCCATCATAGCCCCTCTGTCACCATTGGGGGATGACGCATGTTTGGCATGCATACCACGGTAATATGCAATGCGTACAGCATCCTCGGCAGACACAAGGCCCGCCGCATATGCAGCAGCGATCTCACCAGATGAGTGGCCCACGACTGCTTTGAAGCGAATTCCCGCCGCATGAAGAACGTCTACCAGTACGATTTGGATCGCAAGGCATAAAGGCTGCGATACAGCAGCTTCTGTGATACGCGAGGTCTCGCTAGTGGCAAGCAACTGGTCCTGGATGGTCCAGCTAGGTCTATGCTCCACAGGCAAGTCGTGAAGGACTGAATCGAGGTAAGCAATTCTTTCCTGGCAAAACGCAGATGACTCAAGAAGGCATGCTCCCATCCGCGGCCACTGCGCCCCCTGTCCCGTGAAGATACCAAGAATGGCAGGATTATTGATCTGATAGCGGCGACTGCTGAGTTCCGTCTCATTTCTGGCAGCATCTGCCATGGTTTTCAGCTGCTGAGCTAGTCCTTCGTTGTCGCGGACTGGAACATATGTTCGATAAGGAAGTGTCGAGCGGCGCGAACACAGCGTTGTAATGAGATCTTGGATGTCCAAGGTGGAACTTGTTGTTATGTAGCTTGAGTAGGTGGACAGCATAGTCCTAAGACTTTTTTCAGAAGCGGCAGAAAAGATCAGAGGGGTGAAGGTTGAAATTAAGGAAGGTTCAGATGATGATTGAAAGCCCTGCTCGAAGCTTTCGATGATAGCGTGGGCATTGGTTCCACCAAAGCCTAGTAAGGTCAGCAAATTAATGCAACATTGTAACACAGTTGCTCACCAAAGCTATTAACACTAGCCCGTTTGACCTGGCCAGGAGCCAGTGTAGGCCAAGGTAAAGGCTTCGTGGGGATCTCTAGATTAGTGTAAAATGGTGCGACCTTGTCACTCAATTGATCAAAGTGCAGATTTGGCGGAATGACCCCATGTCTCATGGCCAGTAATGATCCAATCAAAGAGGCCAGTCCAGCAGAGCCTTCAGTGTGACCTATCACGGTCTTGATAGAACCAACGAGTAATTTGGTGTCAGAAATCGAGTCGCTAGGGAATAATGCTGCCGATATCGCTTCCGCCTCTTGCGGATCGCCAGCCTGAGTTCCAGTACCATGAGCGTGGAAGAACTGAGGACGGTCAAGAGGGTTATTGATATCCAGACCGGCCCGACGGTAGGTGTCGCGAATCAGTGCCGTTTGTGCAATATTACTCGGCATAGTAAGACCAGTGGTCCGTCCATCCTGATTAACACCAGTCTCGCGGATGATGCATTCAATGTGGTCCCCATCGGCAAGAGCCTGGCTCAGAGTCTTCAGGACCACGGCTGCCACACCTTCTCCACGAGCGTAGCCATCTGCGGCGCGATCCCACATTGCACACCGGCCATTTGGTGACAGCATGCGCAGGTTTGACTCGGTCACGTACATGGCTACACAAATTAGCAGCGAGCTAGGTCAGCCAGAAGTGCTTACTTACTAGGACTCAAAATCAAGTTCGTTCCTGCTGCTATAGCCAGCGAAGATTCACCGCTACGAAGTGTTTGCACGGCCTGATGCACGGCCACAAGACTGGACGAGCATGCTGTATCAATGGTCATCGATGGACCATGCCAGTCGAAAACGTAGGATATCCGGTTGGAGACTATACTTCGAGCTAAGCCAGTAGCCGTGTATGTCGGAAGTGCCTCAATATCGCTGGCCACCATGGTAGACCAATCATCACACATCATACCAACGTAGACTGCTGTAGACGACCCACGGAGGTTCTCCATGGGCAGACCTGCAGTACAGAGAGAATCATACACAGTTTCCAGGAGTAGACGTTGCTGTGGGTCAATGGCATCGCTCTCCATTGGTTGTATGTTGAAGAATGGCGCATCAAAATGAGCAATATTCTCTTCAAGAAAGTAGGACTTCGTTGCGTTGGTAGTTCCATGGTGAGTTGCTTCTGGGTGGTAAAAATTATCAACATTAAATCGATCAGAAGGGACCTTCTTGGAAATATCGTAGGGATCTCTTAAAAGCTCCCAGAGCTTGCTAGGAGTATCACAACCTCCTGGGAAACGGCAACCGATCCCAATAATGGCAATTGGTTCAGGCATGGTAGGCAGGCGTTACGATAGTAATTCCTGTGGAAGAGACAAAGGAGCTTTGTTGTAGGAGGTAATTGCTCGAATGAATGGCTATCATGAGCAAAACTGTTCGTTTTATACGCATCTGTCCTATCTTCGAGGTATAGCACTGGCCTCAATGAGACATGGACTGATCTGGGACTCTATCAGCTAAGCTAGTAGTATCCCACCGAAAAACTCCGAACACAGTAACCATCCGAACCCCACCTAATTTACGCTGAATCCTGTGGTAATTCGGTTTCAAGGCACTATGTTCCAAAATCAGTAGGTCTTTTACAGATGGTTGGAACTAGAAACAAACCGTTTGCCATTGAGAGGCGAGGTTCGGTTCCATGAAGGGACCGGGAAACATATGACTGGGGCCCATGAAAGGAAGACCATAATAGAAACTTTCCTGCAGGCTATATTGATTAAGGCCTCCAATAGTGAATGGCATTGTTTGGACTGCACTATTGTAAGCAAGGATGAGGATGAAAAGATAACTAAACTGACCTGATTCTGAGGTAATATCGTTGTTCATACCTGGCCTCTCTGGGTCTACCTTACTATTGCCAGAGAGAGTTACCAGCACAATGTTGAGGGTATCGGCTGCAGTCTTTGCCTCCATCGATGAACTACTTGACCTAGTCCATATCTTATGTGCCAGTGTCAATGCTTCCATAATTTGATCCCAGCTGCAGGCATCTGTTGGGGGAATTGAGCTGTCCTGCCTCTGGCGCGCGAGGAAGCACAGCAGCATTGTAGCGGTGAGAAACTCATGCTTCATAAAAGACGATTCCCGCCATCGCATCGTATAAAGCTGACCATCTGGGTTCGTTTCTTCGTCAAATATCCGCTGGATCTCCAAAATACCCAAGGCCGCCTCTATGCAAGAGCTCCGCGAGTAAGAGTATAAAGCCCGCCTATCCAGAGACCGGACTAGGTCTGGGTTTAAATACTTACAATGCAACATGATCTGGCCTTTGTGGAACATTAGTCTAAGAAAGAGCCGGTGTAAGATCACCTGTGGAGGATCAGTCACTGCCACTGCCATGGGCTTCATGCGGAGATAAGGAGGGACTGTTGCCTCCGCGTCATGCAGAACTCGATCTAGTCGCATTGCTTCGTCGTAGGCTACCGGCCGTACCGATGCTGTGAAATCGACGATTGCCCCTAGCGCAATAAAGATGCGGCGCCTAGCGATTAGATGCGATACCGTTGTGATCTCCGTCTCCGGTCTGGACGGGGGAAGCTCAGTACAATCTTCATCGAAGTCGGAGTCATTCAGATTACGAGGCTCTACGGTATCGCACTGCCAATCCTTTATCATCCGAGGCATACCCATCTGGGTTGATATTAGGATATCCCCCTGCAGGATGGTGGCCCAGGCCCTACGCCGCATCTCTCCCGCAAACGGGGAGATCCCTGGCAGGTGGGATGGATCCCGGTGATAACCCATGCGCAGAGCTATATTGACCGAGATACCCGACAGAATCCATATGTCTCGATCCGCATCCTTGCGGATGGAATATTCAATGGTTAAATAGTGGTAGAGAGTTTCAAAGGTGTACCTCCCTGATTTGGTATACTCGCCCAAAAGTAGACACTGCACTATTTTTTCGCGGTACGTATCCACCAGCGGATTACGATTTCCTGTAGGAGCACTAGACCCCGTAGCACTTGAAGCCAGTACTGCAAGACATATCATAGAGAAGAGGAGCCCTAGCCACATGACTCCAGTCTGGGATGGATTCTCCCAGAATTGTTCATACTACAGCACCGTATCGTTAGCCACGCATGCCTATATTAATCCAGGAACATGCTGAACCTACCTCGCGTAGGAATTGGCCACTGTGTATGCAAGCTAGTGTTCACAATGCCGTTATCAATAGGTGTTTGTGTATCATAGATTGGAGACTTACATGGCGCCAAATCCAATAGATTGAAGTACCGCGAAACGTACCGGTCGGTGGCAGCCTTGTCGGGCAAAGCTGCCAGAATGTCTTCTTTGGTCGCTGACTTGCATCCATACAACAGGAATGTGTGTAGCATCATCGGCCTTTCTACATCCTTATCGTCCTCTCCGGCGAGTTGCTGCTTGAGATCTGCGATGCCTTCCAGGATGGCGGCCCAATGCGTTCCGCCGACGTACTGAGCATCCGACGAATTAAACCATATACTCCCGCCATCGGACTGGGCTGGAGATTGCTCGCTGCTAATTGTCTCTGCTTCATTCTGGCAGTCTCGGGTCGCAGACCCTGGCACCGGGTGGTGGTCCGGGTGGTCTGGGCCATCGCCAGTGGCCTTCTGCATCAGGGAGACGACGATCTGCTCCAGCTGGCCCAAACGGTCCTGAACGGTTGCCCGGGGGCGACCATTGTGGGGCACCTGTGGCCTTGTGGCCCTCTGGGGCTGGGGAATCGTGGTCACAGAGGGTGATTGTGGAGCTTCATTATTAGGATAGCCACATGAGAGCGCCAATCCACGAGATGTGCATGCCGAACAGGGTCGCTTGCGGTCACATCGGAGTCTATCGGAGGATTCAATCAACTTTGCTTGCATATACGGAGGATAGTGTGCTGCGACTTACTTCCTGCGGCGACACAACATACAGGAGAGTTGGGGTTTGCTCCGACGATTGACTGGTGGCACTTGGGCGGATGCAGGATCCATAGTGGCTGTCGGAGATACTGATACGCACGACGACGGTATCCGGATGTAACGCGATCACTATGTAATGCTATATATATCTCGTATATAGGTCTGGATACAAATTGTAGCCGCTAGCGAGGTTGTAATCGGGTTGAGGCCTCGCATCCGACGTTGGGCCGTAGATGGGTGTGGAGATGGTTCCTCCGTCCAGCAGTTTCGGGCGGTTCCACCTGGACCACACAGACGAGTTGTGATAAGTCGAAGTAATAAGAGAAGTCTGCATGACAAGCACGAAACCGATCGTATGTTGTATGTTACAGTGGACTAACCAGGCTAGCCAAGGCGCCATCACTGCCCGTGTTCCGTCCACGTTCCCCACGCCGAAGATCCAACCAACCGGAGCATTCTGTCAACCATATTCCTCCGCCTATTCCTCCGTCGTTTCCTCCGCCCATCTCACATCTCCATCGATTCATCCGCTCGTTCCCCCTTTCGTCCGTTGCAAGAGCGCAACCATGGAATTCTTCAGCCCTATTAGTCGTTTATTGTCTTTGTTGTCAGTCAGCCAGGGAAGCTCGGCGTTGGTGGCACAGAGAGCCCGAGCTGCGATGGACCGATGACAACTTTTTCCTCCGTGGGCGTCAATCTTTCAGAGCACAGTACAAAAGGCATAAGACCTCGTTGCTTGCAGCAGAATCCGCGTTCTCGCAAATCTAACCGTGAAGTATAGTTCACAATGAAACCCTCCACCAGTGGCGAGAGTGACAGGACGCGATTGGAACCTACTGATGAGGAGGTGGCCAAACTACCGTCACAGAAATTCGAGGATGAGGTGGTCGACTGGAATGGCCCGGACGACCCCGATAATCCCCTCAACTGGTCAACCGCTAAAAGCTTTGGTCATGTCATTATCGTCGCCGTCTTATCAATGGTTGTGTAAGTGTCCCCCGAATGGGATGGATGCCCAACCACTGGCCGCGCTAACACCCTGTCAGGAACATCGCCTCAACAATGGTCGCTCCCGCAATGGAGGGCGTAGTCAGAGATTTGGAGATCACCAGTAGAACGCTAGGAACCCTGGCAGTGAGTATTTATCTTCTGGGGTTCGCGCTGGGCCCCCTCTTCATCTCGTCTCTCTCCGAGATGTATGGGCGGCTCATTGTCTATCACATTTCCAACGCTGTGTTCGTCATCTTCGTCGTGGCCTGCGCGTTGAGCCACACGACGGCTCAATTCCTGGTCTTCCGATTCATCAATGGCTGCGCGGGAGCGGCGCCCCTAGCCCTAGGTGGCGGGACCATTGCGGATGTCATTCCGGTCGAGAAACGGGGTGCCGCTGCTGCGCTATTTGGCCTAGGACCCCTTCTGGGACCGGTACGTTGGCCTTCCTTCTTTGATGCGAGGTATACTAAGCGAACCAGGTGCTGGGGCCGGTGATTGGGGGCTTTGTGGCCGAAGGGAAAAACTGGCGATGGACCTTCTGGGTGGTCGCAATCCTGGTAAGATTTCATATTCTGGCGTGTTGTTTATAATGCTGACAATCCGGGGCAGGGAGGGGCAGCATCGCTCGGGACACTCATCTTCATGCGCGAAACGCATCCGAACACGCTGCTAGAACGGAAGGCCGCCTACTTGCGACGCTCAACTGGGAACCCACGCCTCCGATCGAAACTCGATCGCGGTCTCTCAAATCAGCAGATCATCCTCACCTCCCTCGTACGACCAACCAAACTCCTCCTATTTTCCCCAATCGTGTTAGTTATGTCGATCTACGTGGCTCTCATCTTTGGCCTCCTATACCTGCTGTTTGCCACTTTCAGTATGGTGTTTGAAGGCCAGTACGGCTTCAGCACGGGGATCTCTGGTCTGGCCTACTTAGGACTGGGCATTGGTGAACTCGTTGGGTTATTCACATTCGGAGTCTTAAGCGACCGCATTCTGAAGGCGAAAATGGCTGCGGAGAATGCACAGGAACCCAAACCTGAGTATCGCCTCGTCCTGATGATGTGGTTCCCTCCGGTTATTGGGCCGGGCCTGTTTATCTACGGCTGGACAGCGTACTACCAGGTGCATTGGATGGTTCCCATCGTTGGGACATTCATCGTCGGCTTTGGCTCCTTCTTCGTGATCATGCCTTCACAGCTCTATCTAGTGGACCTATTTGGGTCGGAGGCGGCTGCATCTGCGCTGGGGGCGAACATTCTCCTGCGCTCACTGTTTGGAGCCTTCCTGCCGCTCGCTGGCTCGCACATGTATGCAACACTCAACTATGGTTGGGGCAATACGTTGTTGGGCTTCTTGGCGCTGGCCTTTGCACCTGTGCCTATGTTGTTCTATCGGTATGGGGAATGGCTGCGTAGCCGAACGACCGTCCGGCTATGACGCTTGTTCTTTTTATAGGATATTTATAGATACAGCCCTACGGCGACATGGATATTTCCCCTTTTACAATGCCATTGGCTATACATGCAGTCGTAAACGTAATACAGAAGTGGAGTAAGCCAGGCAGATACGAAAAGACGGTGCAGACCCCACTGACCAAGGGCCGCCGATACGGGGAATGGGTTGATACGAGAAGCGAGACCCCGGCGCTCCCACCCATACAAGCTTGTTCCTGACAAGCAACGGAGTACACTATCGCAAACCTCAATACCAAAGTCTCATAGTCTTGTGTAACCTAGATAGATATCATTTGATCACAATATCTATAGAAATATCTGTATAAAGATAATATATTAGACAGGACCAGTGTAAAGTGAGGTTAAGGATATCGCGAGGTCTCGGTTAACCCGGGAACAGAATGGCAAATCATTAGAGGTTTTGTAGTGATAACCCTAACCACTTCTGAAAGTTGACTGCAGAAACTTGGAAAAAGATAATCTGCTACCACACGGTACTACCTTGTGAGAAACGAACCACCGGGTAATACCAGGCAAATAGTACCTTGCGCTTATCCGAAATAGGGACGCACACTAGTCTGGTGTCCTGTTGGGGGCTAACAAACCACTGGACAGAATCTCACACTACTTGGAACCCAGCGATGTCCCCAGCACCCGGTGCATCTTGAGGAATCGAATCGCGACCTCCCTCGATGATCCTGGGATGGCCACCTCACACGTGGCTGACAGTCATGCCGGGCTTATACATAGACTAGTCGACACATGGCATGATTGGGACCATACCGGAATTAGCCGGCATCCCAATCAGCGACCAATTCAGGCTCGAGTTAGCACGTTGGTCAGAGGTATCAGCTCATATGAGATACAGTTTTAGTATCATGTCAACCTGGTAGAACCCATGGGGAACTAAAAGATGACTGGAACGAACTAGACCAAACAAACGCAATACATGTACCAGTGGTTGCCTCAGGCAGCAATTCCCCCGCCGCAAGTTGAGGTGCCAGGGGCTTGACTGAGCCATAAATACACCGGAGGAGCCCTTACAATACACCCAATTTATTGAATACGGAAGGATTCGAGTGGCGCCTTGGCACGCTGAGTATTGGTCACTATGGTGCGGTAGATGGCGACTTCCAAGTTGCGCGGGTAGTAGATACGTTCTTCATGTCTCTCCTAAAATTATATATCTGGGAACCATGTCTGACCCCAACAACACTTTCCACTGGATTGCCAACTCTTGCCAAGCTGCGAGACCACACAGCCTCCCCCAATTACTGCCACAGAACGATTTGACTGAGTAGCCAAGAGTTGACCTGTGGAATCTAACCATGTCTGCCACGTGGGCACAATCGTACCGCACCTCATGCGAGCGATGCCGGTCGCAGAAATTGAGGTGTGTCCCGTCTCTCAACGGGGATTGCCAACGGTGCATGCGCGCTCGAATGCCTTGTGTGTTCAGCCGCCGAGCTCGCAGTGGACGCCAGCCGAAGAGGGTGAACCATGCGGAAGGTACTCCACCTACCGATTCATCAGGATCCAGCGCGGATGATCCTCTGGCGTCGATCATCCGTGTGGATCCCCTGACAGATCCTTCACTGGGCACGATCTTCGCTGAGAACCTTCTTGATCATTCGGGAACTACACCAGTCCTACCTGTCCATATGCCGTATCCGGGATGGAAAGCAGGCTGGTGGTATGCGTCTGAATCGCCGGGCTCAGATTTTGATCTGGACAAAGCCGCAAACCTGTTAGATCAGCAGAATTTCGACCACGGCGACATGAGCCACTCTAAGGCAGTGCCCAGCATATCCAGCTCAGACCCGTTAGGCGACAGCCAAACGTCATCCGCTCAAGTTCACGGCCTCTCTTCGATCCTAGTCGCAATGACCAACTATAAAGGTGACCTTCACTACTACCGCACAACAACCATCGACTCAAAGCACAATAGCAGCAGCAGCATCTACGACTATCCGATCGGTGGGGCAACATCCCTGGCACAGTCCCTCAGGGAGCTCGTATCGAGGCAGACATGGCAGCACAGCGAGATTTCTCATCAAAACCCCGCGCTGGAGAAAACAATCGACACTCCCACACTGCTGCTGATGCTTTCATGCTACATCTCACTGATCAACATCTACGACACAGTGATCTGCGACCTGCAAAGGCTTTTAGCGCTTCTTCCCGCTGCAACGTTATCAAGACCGGAATCACAATGGGGACTGCGACTCGGAGATCTGCCGCTCACTAATGATGGATGTGTACGCACACTAAATGCCGTTCAGATATTGCTGGATGCCTTAAATGCCATCGAGAACGATCTTGGTATGTTCACTTTTGTGTTCCACGTAGCAGACCTGCCACTGACACCTTCCAGAGCATGTAAAAGACCTCAACGACAACATGTTAGAGTCCTTGTTGAGAAGGGACATCAGCACTGGTACGACATTCGAGAAGGGGATAAGTAGCGGTCTTCGGGTGAAGATTGAACAGTTACAAGGCAAGTTAAAGCATAATTTAAATTTATAGTGGATCAACTCTCTAGATAAACACGAGATGCGATCTGGACGTTGGTATCTTTGAACGTTTCATGATTCGATGTGCCACATGTCCATGGGTTGGGAATCAAGGTGATATGTAAAGTAACAAACACCACAAACGGCCTCCATCTACTATGTCCTTCCAACATTCTATGATTCCACCGACCCTTTTCCAGCGCGAGCCTTCCAACAACAGAATCTATCCTTAGTGGATGGGGTCTACTACCTAAGTCGATCAACCTATAAACTTGCTGCGCTAGGCTGAACGAGCTTAGTATTTTGGTTTTAGTCTGGTAAAGTCAACAGCCTAGGTATGTGACATGCTGGAGTACACAACATCTGTACTACGTCTGTACGTCTATTCATAGTGAACAATGACTTTTGTTCTAGAGTGGATTCTCGTTTGCAGGATGGCATGCAAGCTGACTGGGACATATCTTTTTTTGGTAATAGAGAACCTTACTGCACAATCAGCATGTTCCAGCTTAGTAAGACCAATCAGAGGCTGTGGCATGCAGCACATCCAACATCAAATTCCATGTCAGCTTCCAGCAGTGGTTGGGGTAGCACACCGTTTGGATTTGCTCCCCTGGCCATGCATACGGTAGAGGGAATGCATGACACGTACTAATCGTACTCTGCCACCTAGAGAATGCTAGCAGGGATGCTGCCCTGATTCCTAACTTGGTGATGGTAGCCTACTTTTCTTGCGTACGATGATACCTGTGACCTTCTGAGTTCATATATCGGTCGCTTAGGTATCCTCCTCGCCTAACATCCAAAGCTGACTTCGCCTTGGGTTTGATGGACCTGCAATGCTCGGGGACGATTTTTAGATGTCCTCGAGGCATCCTTCAGCTCCCATGATTAGAAAGTCCGAGATCGAGTGGGGATCATTCCCATCACATAGCAACAGCAAGTTAAGTAACCTCCCAGTTCTTGCCAAAATCGCCCGATCGCCTTGATGGTCTAAAATTCAGACCATAATTGGCCATAGGACCGAAGTATTCCCAGTCGACCAAGTCGTTTGGGTTGACTCTGTAGAGAAAGCTGGTGGGAGTCATATTTCTGATGCCTCCAGAAATGATCCCGAACACGGTCTCTTTCGGATCCAACCAGAAGGTCTTACTCATGTTGGGCCATGGATCACAGAACGGGTTGCTTTTCGACTTTCCTTGTGATGAGATCATGAGGAGTCGCAGTACCCCAAGCGATATCACCCCAGTCAGGACCATTGGGATTCCACTGAAAGGAGAGACAGTAAACTCCAGTAGAGGGATCATACCCAGGAGCGCATGGGTCATTGATCCATCCTTCTTGAGGCATCAAGTGAAAAGCTGGACGCCTTCTTGTACACGTTGGGAGGTCGGCCTTAAACCTCTCGGGAGTAATGAGCCCTGTTGAGCCAAAGAATGCAGGGCTATACAAGATTCCCTCATCATGTGTTTTTGTTCAAAGGAAACAGAGGAAGACATACTTGTACTCGATGGTATTTGTCCAATTTTAAAGACTTAAATGTTGATGGCTATGGCGGCCGGTAAATCACCCGGAAATCTACCAAGGGCTGCTTCGCCGAGATCCCCCCCGAGAAGCCACTTTAGCTCTTCTTATATCCCTCAAATGTTTGAACGAAGCTTTTGGAAGCCACTGTAATTTCGGCCCTAAACGCTCCGGAAGCAAATTTTGTGGAGTACCTCCGCGGATTTGCAGCAGAGCCAGCTTCTAGCTGTGGTTGGACTGCATCGGAGGCTCCCCAGCGAAACCAGGTGTGGAAAGCAACTAAGCTCCAAGCATGGGCCTCCGATTTTCTAATGCTACATGTTTCCCTGAGCTGTCCACAGATTCTCCCCAAATATCCGAAACCAGTAATCCTGAGGTCTTGGTATTCAGCCTACTGTCTTGAAGTATGATATTAAAATTTCGACTGCGCCTTGAGTGTAATTTGGCATTACAGATACAAGGCTATATCGCTCTTTACTTTGATGTTCCCCAATTCCATTTAAGAAGAGAACATTGTACACATTCTCTACCATGACTTCTTCTGTCGGGAAAACCTGGTGGAAAGAGGCCGTCATTTACCAGATTTACCCGGTTAGCTTCCTCGGCAGCAACGGTGATGGGCTTGGGGATCTTCCCGGCATTATTAGTAAGGTACCTTATATCAAGTCTCTATTTGGAGCAAAGACCTGAAGCAATCTGCCCCCCACAGAGGTCAAGTGCGCAAGAAGCAAAGGCCATTTGCGGCCAGAGTGGAAGTTCAAGGGCGAGGCAAAGAGACCGCCGGTCACAGAACCAATGCGCAGAAGGGAAAACACCAGATTTTGATTGCGAGCCGTGAGGACATACGCTCCACTAGCCGAGTTGAGCCCTTGAAACTTCATTACCTGGAACTAGATCAGTATCTTTCCTCATCATGGGGCAGGTAGCGTCACACTCACAGAGGCTGGCGATGCAGCAACCGGGGAGATGATTTTGTCATCGAAACCAAACAAGAACGACGCGGCACTAACCACTGTGCATGTGAAGATCAGACAAGTGTTAATTGCGTTCCTGGTCTGGCCATCTCGTAATACATCTATATGTTGAGCCTCAACTGCGTCAACATCATCTATTCTATCCTTGAAAGATATGGCGCAAATCTTGAGTAGTGAATGCCAATGAATGTGATCCGTTTCAGTCCTTAGTGCAAGCACAATAGATCCAGGGCCATGAGGGAGCGTTAAGTACGATATCCCTTCCATTCTACCATGGGGTATCCACGATCCGGTATCCCATAGGTACTCAACGCGCACAGTTCGCGGACCCTTTTCCCGCGGCGTTAAATGGAGCATAGAGTTTCCCGATGCTCCCCATTTCGCCATAAACTCTGGGGGCTGTCCAATTTCGCCGAAAGCTCTCCGCTCAACGCCTCCCAACTCATCTCCGGCGAAAGCACAACATAGTTCGCATTATCAGCTCAACGAGAAATTACATAACAGAAAGAGACGATGAACGAATCTCGCTCACACACCTTTAAGCCAAACACGGTGTCTCAAGGTCCGAGTGTCTGTAGTGCGCTGCTCGATAGTTGTGGTTGTAGTTGAAATTTTTGTAGCTTCTTGATATATCTTGCTATTATGGATAATCGCCGAGCTATTGCTGCGACTTGTGGTATAGGTATCAGCAAACAGATGGTTGGTGAGCATAGCAAAGACATGAACCGGAAGGAAATTCAGGGTGCACCACATGTCGTCGGAAGGTGCATTGAGAACAGACAGCTTGGTTGTCGGAGCAGAAGTAACCTGTCCTCTCATATATCGGATCATATATCCGACCTTTTGTTCCCTTAGCCTTCTTTCCTACGAAATACATATTAATGGATGATAGTTTGAATGTCATCCTTGTGGGTATCCTCTCCGTTCTCGTAAGCCTTATCTCCCGTATGGTTGTGTAGGTAACCAGTAAACTCCACTCCTGTGTGTTTCATAATGATTTTACGTGTATTAGTTGGAGAATATTCTCAAGAAGTGATTGTCATACCCCGCATCATGATTCCTGTTCCATGAACGGTAAAGATGACACGGCGGGATTAGATGTATATCTCAGACCTGTTGTCGAGGCCTGACACTAGTCCCTTTCCGTCATTATAATAGCCGCGCTGATCAGACGAGAGCCGAAGATACTCCGGCAATGCCCTGCCAAGGGGGTCTAAGTTTCATTCATGTTAGATATGGCCACACTGGACGACCATGAGGCCCCAGCTTCGGCCACATCATCCGATAGATCCACCGGCATAGCCGTCAAAGTTGCGCCCCTCTCGCCCCCAATAGAGCCAAAGCTTCGTACTCCAAGCCGGTTTTGGAGACTTTCCCATGGGGTAGGTATTATCATGACATATAAAATGTCCAACCCTTGGATTCGACAGCTCTGTATTCAAGCCGTAAAACAAGAGTTTCACTGGACAGGGGCAACTTATTACCAATCATCCACCTCCGACCAATGTACGTACTCAAGTCGTTGGTCGAGCTGTTGTGTCACGCGCTCACTGACATTGTTCTTGTAGTAGCAAAATGCGTATTACCGAGCTTGCCGTCTTTACCTACAAGGCCAATTACAACTATGGCACCTATACTATGTCAGGAGGACGAGTCAATGATGGCGAGCCGTCTCTTGTGATCCGTATCCGTACCGACAGCGGCATCGAAGGATGGGCTGAAAATGCCCCGTTAGGTAGTGACTATCTACCGAGTTCGTTCACTGGCGAGCTCGCTGCCTTGAAGGAGCTTGGTCCGAAGATTTTGGGGCTTGACCCTCGGTCACCTGCAGCTATTAGTGCAATGCTCGATCGCGCAATGATGTCAGGCATTGCTGCGAAATCGATTATCGATATGGCCTGCTGGGATATCCTAGGAAAATCGGTGGGGCTACCAACTCACGTTCTGCTTGGTGGCTGCCTTACAAAGGCGCCGTCAGCCTTTTGTGTTATTGGATTTGGAGAGCCTTCGGTTGCTGTTACGAAGGCATTGGCTGAAGCAGAGAAAGGTGTGGTTGCAATGCAATTGAAGGTCGGGGATGATCCTCTGGAGGATGCCCGGCGGATACGTGCGATTCGTGAAGCACTGCCCGAACATATCAAGCTCTTCCCGGATGCAAACGCCGGATGGTCCCTTGAACAGGCCTTGACATACTGCCGAGCACTGGGGCAACATGACCTACCCCTGATGCCTTTGGAACAACCATGCCGAACGCTAGCGGCTTCTGCTGAGGTCGGTCGGCGAACTGGGGTGCCAATTATTCTCGATGAGTGCATTTTCACTATGGCCGATCTAGCAGCGGCCCACGCAGCGGGTATCACGGGAGTCAACATTAAAATTTCGCGCGTCGGCGGTTTTACGAAGGCCCGAGTCCTGCGTGACGCCGCGGTTGGTCTTGACATGATGGTTACTATTGACGATAGTTGGGGATGCGCGCTTACGACTGCGCAGAATCTTCAAATGGCCGCGTCTACTCGACCTGATAGACTCCGCGCTGTTGACTGCTATGCAGAGTGGACAAACCCAATGATTGCAGATGCGCCTCGGATGCAGAAGTCTAATGGTGGCGTTGTCCCTCTAGAGATCCCTGGGAATGGGTTTGGGAGTGTAGATATCAGCTTCTTAGGGGAGCCCATATTCAACATCACAGCATAGTCTGATTCCCGGGTGTTCTAAGCACAGGTTGGACGATGCCAAGGCCCTTGCTCAATTTAACTCATCTTGAAAGTATTAAATTCCTACTCCCACCTTAAACGCTGCTCTTCATGCTCTGAAGTTTTTGAATCGTGTTCATCACTCCACTACAAATCTGTTTCGATGGATTTGCCTTTCGTACGTGCCATTTTTCTAAAGCCAAGTGAACTACTCGCTATGCTAGAAACTTCTAACTCCAACTACAAATTGTTCTAGGTAAGCAAAAGTCAGCTGAGTTAGACTTTGGAACTACATTGTTGATTCTAGATTTGATTTTGCCTTCTAAACCAGCCCCCGGAAGTTGGGGCGGGTTCAGTGGAGAACCTGATTAAACCAACCCTACCTGTGCCACTTTAATACGAAATTACTGGTTTATTATTTTAAGATAAAGTAGTATGCACAAGATGCTTTGGACTTATCTCCATCGATAAGATCCGACGGACGCGGATGTATTGCCATGCACTTTGGGCACCGGGCGCACAGGGGAACGGTCCGGATGCGAGATGTACGTACGTATCCCAGACCATATGATGTTAGTGGCGACATGTTCGGGGCTATCATTGCTATCTAGTGTAGCTCTGATATATAAAATAGATGAAACTTTTATACATAATTCCACCCATGTCAGCTTTTGTGACCTTACTCATCAAGCCAACAGAAACATACCCTCCAGGCCCTATTCCTGTGGTATCCGACTGAGTATATGTCCATTCCCCATTATCATACGACTGCAACGTGCTAGGCTCTAATGTGACTTGGGAGGATAGTCCGCTCTTTCTATTTTTGCCCTCTGGAGTGGGCCAATGTCGACTCTAACCACCCTATGGCAGCCTTGACTTGCCAGCTTTTCTACTCTCATTGAGAGCACCAGAGAGGCCATACTGAGACGGAACACCGTTGATACGATGGGTTGAATTCAGATTCTTGACGACAAGGAACTGGAAACAAGTGGCGCTACCTTGGCGAGAAGCGATGACGGACCAAGCCAGGAACAGCTCCCAAATCTATCCAACATTAAATCACGTTAGACTTAAAAAAGATGGTAGAAACTTACTCGATACCACCGTTGACCGTACTTGGCCTTAATTGTGTCCGCGTTGCCGAGCCAATTCCGATACCATCTCCAGAGCGTTCCGGAGTAGTGGACGCCGACGGTATCAATACTGGGTGTTCTAGCGTCAGTCTTTGCGTTAGTCACGAATGATCGCAGACGATACACACCTCTTGATCTCAAATCCTGCTTGTTCTAAGCATTTCACATAATACCAAAGAGGGGTGGATGCATCCGCGCCCCGGAAAATATACTTGTTCAGGTACAGACCCCAGACAAAGTCCTCATATTGCCAGGCCTGTCGCAGTCCAGAGAGCTGCACATACATAGAACCATCATCGTTAAGCATGTCATAGCACTGACGGAAGAAGGTTGTGAGTTTGCGAATGCCAACATGCTCGCCCATCTCCAGCTGCGTGATCTTATCGTACCGCATCCGGGGAATGTCCCGGTAATCCATACACAGAATGCGACTCTGCGACTCCGGGACACCAGCCTGGCGGAGGGCGTCATTGCCCCAGGCCGTTTGGTGCCGCGCGATAGTAAGACCGGTGACCTTGGCTCCGTAGTTCAGACTCGCGAATTTCGCCAGCGTACCCCAGCCGCAGCCGATGTCGAGGAGGGTCTCGTCTTTCTTGAGGTTGAGCTTCTCGCAGACAATCGCCATCTTGTTGTCCTGCATTTCTTCTAGGGTTTCTTCCCTCTCGGTGTCCGAGATGATACCGGAGGTGTAGATCATGCGGGGACCAAGGAACCAAGCGTAGTGATCGTTTCCGCGGTCGTAATTGGGACGGATTTGGTCTTCATCTTGGGATTTGGTGTGGAACAGGATGTCCCGAAAGAAAGTAAAGACGATAAACTTGAAGAGCTGCCAGGTGAAGCGGAAACTGGCCCAATCATGGCGGTATTCCATAATTTCGAGGCAATCTCCGTTGAAATCGACCTGGCCGTCGAGGTACATTTCGCAGAATGTTTGCATGGGAACGCGGTTCCGACCTTGCCATTTCGTCCGGTCCGCTTGGTTTTTGAAGGACACGTATTCTTCAATTGGCCGACCCGGCATTTTGACCTTTTCGTTGGTGCGCGGGCTACAGGACGAGGCCCAGGTCCAGAAAGCCACCAAAATTGGCAGAGCCGTCACCAGCGCAAGGGCGATTGCCGTCTTTACTCCTCCACCGAGTACATAAGTCATGAAACTGGGGACTCCAACGAGCGCCCCTATTAAGAGGGTGTTAGAGAAGCTCTCATTACCCGGACCGTCCGCTGGGAGAGGGCCATTGTGAATGGCTGCGGACTTGGGGTTAATTAGCAAGTGTTCGGACTCCCCGGAGGAGCATTGGAACTAACATTTGTCAAGGGCACTCCACAATCCTCAGGTTTAAACCGCGAGGGCTTGGCGGCGGGAGTTTGGATGAAGTCAATGTCGCTGATATTAATAATTTCGGCGGCCATCGTGATCGCGTATAAACACTAATAGTTCGTATCCTGTGCTGAAGTTGCAACTAAAGGATTTAAGTATGGCGAAGAACGACACGGTGTTCGGTTCCTTTTCCTGCGTCGCAATTTGAAAAGAGGCCCACCGCGCAGTCCGCGGGCCCCGATCATCCGCCAAGTTCAAAGTCCTTGAATTGCGTCGCAAGCATAGCCTGATGTGATGTGGTGCCAAGTACCGAGAAGATTCTGATTCCACGTCGAGCGCCGGCCCAACTCTTCGTAAACCATCAGATCATCATTTTGGGGAATCTGCTCCTCCATCGTATTTATAAAGCGTTTCACGATATCAATGCCCAATGGAAGTCTGCTCGGTCGGACAAAAGCAGGCTTACAACCCATTCAGCGAGCTGTTGGATATGCATAAATGAGAACAACTGCCTCAAGGGCAGTCGAGAACGACAACTGTTGAAGACTAACCATTGTCACAAATACCTTAATCTGAGTGATGAGAATAAAAGTATCTCGAACAAAAACATTCTTTGTTGGGTTCGTTCACAATATATATAACTTAGAGACGAACTTTAAACTTTCAAACGTAAAGATCTATCGCCCATCCACTTATCGAGTACAAATAAACGATAATAGTACTACTTTATTGGTCGTTCTTTTGCGGCCCATTCTTTTTAGGCAATGACCGAATTCCTGTTATCTACACGAATAATAACCTGAATAAGCTTCCTTGCTGCGGCGGCTATCATCGCTTATCTAGCCGCTCGATCCTACAGGTACTCCGAAACAGATCGCCCCACTGCCATGCCGTTCACTCGCCGCCTAGGTTAGGCAGTGGTGAGCCCAGCCTTTTTCATACGGCTGTATTGCAATAGCTTTAAAGTAAGGTTGTACCCGAAGTGTAGTATAGAAACCGTGCAATACATTCACGCCTTCGGGTGCGGGGTGCAGATGTCTTGGCATGGCACAGTTAATGTGGCAGACCCCACCACCGTTGCTTGCATATCATATAAAGCAATAGGAATCCATATTGCACGGTGTATATAGGCCCTTTCCTAGCATCTGGAATACGCTTAATTTCCGATATATTCACAAACCGCACAGATTCCTTCGGGGAATTTCCAACGCCATAACTAAACATGACCGCCGAGCGTTCAGTCTCTATTCTTGGCTTGGGCCAAATGGGCTCTGCCCTTGCTCGAGCCTACGTGAGAGCGGGATGGAAAGCGATTGTTTGGAATCGATCCGCCGCTAAAGCTGAATCCTTGGTCGCTGAAGGTGCAATCGCTGTGAAATCGATAACCGAATGTGTCAGTGCAAGTCGCCTCGTCATTACCTGCCTTCTGGATCACAAAGCACTCCACGAGATCTTCGCCAACGTGAGCCCTCATCCCGACGATGGAGCAGTCTTAGTGGACTTTACCTCGGGCACTGCTGCCCAAATTCAGGAGACTCAACGAATGATCAAGGACTTACACATTTCGGCTTATATTCGTGGTATTGTGTGTACAACACCTGCGTATGTGGGTACTCCGGAAACGTCGCTCTACTATAGCGGCAATTCAGAGGCTTTTAAAGCAATTTCTGATGACATCAGAGTCCTTGGGAAGCCACTCTATATTGGGGATGATCCAAGTTCAGCCAGCATCCAAGAATGTATTCTTGTGAATACCTTATTCGGCCTCGTCGCTGGGTTTCTCCAGTCAATGGCGGTGCTGAGAAAGTCGAACCTTTATTCCCACGGGAGTGCTGAACGTTTCCTGTCGGAGGCCATAGCACCGTTACTTGCGCATGACTACCCTTGCATGCTCAGAGACTACGCGAGGCAGATCGATAAGAAGCAGTACGGTAGCACCGAGGGTGCCCGGTTGGGTCTGGTGGTCCACTCCTTGGAGTCTTTAATGCAGCATCATTCGGAACTGGGTCTTGCTAGTGTAGTATTGGCCCCACTACAGGAACTTGTCAAAACTAGAATTGCACAGGGAGGAGCAGATGAGGAACTAAGTAGCCTGGTCGAGACCATTTCTGACTCGCAAAAGAAACACTAAGGTCAGGCGCGGGCAGTGGGACCGTTGGGATTCGGCGGTTGATATTCGAATCTCTCCTTCCGTTCTCGTTACGTTTGAGCCTATATGTAGTAGTCACGTGCTCTGGTTCAGCGAGTACAGAGAGGGTTTTGAGAGCAGGCAGGCATGATAGCACTCCCGAGCGTCTGCATCTAAACCAGCTAGGGCAATTGAATAATTGTGTGATCGATTGTGTGCGGTACAAATTGCCCGAATACCTAGACCTCGAGAAGACGAAAACAATCAGTCTTCCTATTTGCCTTCTTCTAAGCCTCCCCGGTCAATGTGGTAAGTGCCAATGTGGATTACAACCGGCGCTTTTTTCTAGAAAGACCGGGTTCCATAAATGGGATGACTCGTCTGGTCCTGCAGACGCAGAAACATATAGTGGCCGGCACGAATACAAGCCCATAGGATTTGAGATATTCGCATTCGCATTCGTAATTTGTAATCTCTACGAATATTCGTATTCGCAGGGGCCGATATTCGTCGAATATATTCGTAAATTTGCCAAGACATTATTAGTAATCATAACGTCCAATGAGAGGCATCGCCTCTCATTTGTTTACTTTGTCGCGACGCGACAGGAGAACTGATATTTACTGTGTCTGCATATGATGGATTGGATTCTTCAAGATGTCTGCTAATTAATCTGAAGCGGCAGCTCCAGCTACTTATCTGCCAATGTGCCGTCGCGCCCGCAACATTCTCAGAGAATCGACTACCATCTTTTGAACTGTGGAAGCGACGAGGAGGGAGATGTTGAAGATCGGGCTATAGAGAAAGCACGATCCACCATCGGATCGCTCTGAATCAGTGGGCCCGCCGAGTCTGCTAGCCAAGTTTATCTGAATTTGCCTACTCCATCAGAATCCCATCCGCAAGGTAACTCCACTAGAAGCCTCAGAGAGGCTCCACAGTCTTATAAATCGGTCGGTAAATCCGGCATTAAGCCACAAAGTCAATGGCTCTGGAGTCAATTCGATGTCAAGCCACTCCCAGGAAAACCATGGTGGCCTAAGTGTAGCAGACGACTATTGGAGGACCGAGAAATCCAATGTACACATTGTGGTTGGAAAACCACGGACTCTGCACTGCAAGAGCAACTTCTACGACTAACATGAAGGCTCATCTAGCCAAACACAATCTTGGCGAAAAAGTGGGGGAGGGAGATCAAGACAAGGATTCCGGTATGGCGAAGCAACTGTCTATCGCTTCTATCTTCCGACACAAAATTGAACTGGACGTGAGAGACCTCATGGAGCGGAACCTTCTTCGGTGGTTTGTGAGAGATGACATAGCTTCCACAGCCATTGAGTCTCCTGCATTTCAACAGATATTACGGACTTGCCAGATGTTCCACTTCCATTCAGTTCCTCTCGCACCATTGCTCGACGCATTGACTCGGATTTCGACCAGTGTCGGGCCGGACTGACTGAGGAACTTGCGAGAACTTGCTCAACAATTGCTCTTTCTCTGGATGTGTGGACCAGCAAGAATCATAAGTCCATATTAGAAGTTATTGGCCACTGGCTAACTCCAAACTTTGAATATTAGTACCGAGTTCTGAAGTTGGGTGAGATTTTCAGAGGAAAGTAGATCATCCAGGCGCACCAATAGAAAAAACAAAAAATGAGGGGGCGTGTTTCTCGCTGTGGTTTTTGCAGCATCAACGTCAGTGTTGGGTAGCCGTGGGGTTTGGTAACCCCTTCCACTCCGTTCCTTCGTTTCAGGGCAAATGAATTCATCCATCCATCCGCTGTAGAAGGAACGCTCGATCTAAAGACGACATGATTGGTTAAGGCTTTTGTTCTTCTATCCAAATGACTGGGTAAATTTGACCTTCGGAGAGCTCCGCCCTCTCATATGACACTATATGATAAATGAAAGATTAACATAAAATAGTATAGCAACCAATATGAAGCTACATCGATAAGCTAGTGTTCCAGAATGACAGACCAACAATCGCGCCATTTCAAGGGATAGGAAGGATATGTGGCCAAAAAAAAGGGCCCTTTACAGATAGTCAACTGGCAACTTAGTCAGATTGCACATAACGCTTTGCCGAAACCGACGACACTCGAATTTTTATCTAGATGCCAGAGAACGATATACAACAATACGTCCGGCCCATACAGTCACTTCCCCCTCGTCGTCCGAGGACTAAAACTGGCTGCCTGGGCTGCCGTCTCCGCCACAAGAAGTGCGACGAGGGGAAACCTGTCTGCGGTACCTGCTCAAAGCAAGGCCTCCTGTGTTCTTGACCTTCTGTCCCAGGCTCTGCTAATAAGGGCCACGGATTCCAATGGCGGCTGAAACTAAAGGCCGTCGTATCTGTCTCCCATTGCGCTGCAACACCTCCAAAGAAGACCTTGCCGCGTTCTAGAGCAGCCACGTGTCAATGCGACATACTTTAGAACAATAACCGTAATGATTCTCCATGTTCCAATGTGCTCTTCGTGAGTCCCCTCTTGTGATCCGTTCATGCAAAGTTCCCGATTGACACCCACAGGACCCTTGCTCTTATTAGCCGTTGCTTATCTAGACGTTCGATCTTCCCATCGAAACGAAACGCCCCTGGGGCGATGTCATTCGCTCGGCACCTAGTTTTACTGATACTCTCTCGTAACTGAAATGGTACCGAATGCAATGTAGAAACAAACACAGATGTAAACTGTCGGGATCTGGGTTCTTGTTGAACGCCGTAATCATCGTGGCTAATGAGAGAATTAGGCCTCATATGGCTAGGCCTACTGTAAGGAAAGACTTAAGGTGAGTGACAACTAGTTGAGACCTACGCCATCAGCTGCCGTTGAGGGTGTTGTTCGCCTACAAACAACCGAAAACTGGTCAGGACGGGTTTTTGCCGATGATATCACTCGTTGGGGTTTCTCTGAGCCAAAGAGGCACCCCAACAATTGATGACCAGCACATGCCGCATAGGAGAAGGAGAATGGGGGTCTCCCAGCAGATCATAAAGTGACTAGGAAGTAGGTGGCCTTTCCCTACATGATTTGCAGAGATCCACCATGGGTTTCCATGGAATCCCATAGGCTTTCTTTTGGTACGCGTACTGTAATGTTACGCCACTGGGTACTATAATCGCCCTAAAAGAAAATCTAGACTTTCTAGAATTTCCTATATTTCTATATAGTTGTAGCCTTCTAGGGTATATAGAACTTTAAAATTCTATTTAGGGTTCTAATCTAAATCTATATAGGTAAGATATCTAATTACTAAACAACGCCTTACCTACCTGGGACTAGTAGAGGGGTTTCGTGTTTTTCGCGGGGCGGGTCAATTTAAATTGTCCCTGGGTTCGGGGTGGGTGTGGGTTTGCCTACCAAAAACCCGTCCCAATATCAACTCTAGCCCTAGTACTGCCGCTGGATTATAGTGGGCATAGCTCCAACAATACGCAAGGCTTGCTCCTGCTTGCCTCAGTCATGATTGTCCTGGACTCGCTAGATCCCGTAAACACCAGCAACTGCGGACGCGGTATACATGCTGAGTGTGGCGCTGGAACGCCATTCAATGCAACAAGTCCACCTCACACCATCCGCATTGAGTAATTCTTTTGCTTAGATGAATGGCGTCAAAGTGTCGTGCTATACATCAGCTATCATGAACCAAGATTTGAACACAGTGACCGGAGATTTATTCTATCAGTCTTACTAAGATTGGCCTGACTACCGCCGGTATATTTATTCAAGTATGGCAGGCAGCTATCCAATGTCTTTGTAATGACTTTGGCTGACCAGCTATTTTCTACCAGGTCAGGAGATGGGATGAACCACAAGTGTTATTACTATCTCAGCCTAGAGCTATTGCCAATACATAATTGGCTTTTGGCACGACATCTCCTACTGTCAATTGGCCATGCTGCCAAGAGCTGCTGATAGCATTTGAGGGTCTTAAAAAAAGGCCACTTAAGCCATCCCTCGTTGGTGGGAACGGTCACTACTTTTGTCCCTGACTTCCCCTGGTAAGACTCAACCGTATATTGCCCACGTTGCAGCTTGTAGCCAAAGCCAAGCCAGTGATTCCGGAAGTATGTGCACTGATCAACATCGGACTCCATCAGTGACGTACAGATGGCGGGCGAATATCGGAGATGTGATTCGGGTCAAGCCGTCACACCGCTCATCGGCTCGTTCGGCACTGGGCTCTGTCGGTAAATTTATCGGTCAGACAGCGGGTGTGGGGATGCCGATCTTCCCTGAAGCAGAGGTATCAGATTGCGGAGATTCATCGGAGTCAGGGGAAATTATGGAGCTGGCCGGCCCCGGCTAAACCCTTGATTATAGTATTTACCCGCCTGTGGCCTTCTAAAGTCACGAGACGATGGTCATGAATAGCCCATGGCAGCTAGTATAACGTCAGTGGCATTTGTGTAATGTTGAAATCTGACGGCCCCGTGTTCGACTCGTTTCCTGGAGATGATCGTCAATCCGTATTCGAACCATCAAAATCTTAGGGAGTGTTTGGAGATTGGAGAAACTGCAAGCTTCTTCTTTTTCTTCAATTCTTCTACTTTATTCGAGATGAGGATGATGGAATTGTACCGAAATTATTCACCATTGATCGACGAGTCGAACAGCGTTAGGGCTTCGTGCATTTTGCCTTGTGTTGGGGTCAGACGTCTACATTAAGCACCATCATCGTCTAGATTACCCAGCAAGCGTGCCCACGCCAAGCAATTACCTAGAACTACAAGGACGACGAGATAGCATTGTGGACCTAAGTTCAGATTTCTCCGAAGAAACTTCGGCTTGGAGAAAGGTTGGGCAGTCCCCGCGGGGAATGAGATCACGTGTCGCTGTGTTTAAATACTATTTCATACACATGAGAATTCTGTGTGAATGAGCCAAATCATTTCTCTTTCCCAATATTCTTGGTTATACCATGGTTGCTTTCTTGAAAGCTGTTGGCTTGGGCCTTCTAATCAGCCCTACATGGGCCATGGACTATAAGGAACCCTACCGTCCCCAGTTTCATTTCTCCCCCGCCAAAGGCTGGACGAATGACCCTTCCGGACTAGTATACCACAATGGAACATACCACCTCTTTTTTCAACACAACCCTGCGGGAATTGAGTGGGGTAACTTGTCCTGGGGCCATGCGACGAGTCATGACTTGACCCATTGGAAAGAGGAGCCCGTTGCCCTCCTTGCCCGAGGTTTTCCCCAAAATGTGACGGAGATGTTCTTCACTGGCAGCGCTGTTGTCGACATACACAACACTAGTGGGTTTGGAGCCAATGGCAAGATCCCTTTGGTTGCTGTGTACACTTCCTTCGTAAGTCTATTTGTGCCCTCGTCGAGCTAAACACAAACCGGCTAATTCGCATATCTGGTAAGTACGATGTCACGCAAACTCTACCTAGTGGCAAGAAGGTGAAAGCCAATCAGCAATCCCAGTCAATTGCATACAGCATCGACGATGGTATGACATGGACAACCTATGACGCAGGAAATCCTGTGCTCCAACACCCACCGACGCCATACCAAGAACAATGGGAGAACTTCCGAGACCCATTCGTGTTTTGGCATGAACAAACCCACAAATGGATCATGGTGACTACTGTGGCCGAATTGCACAAGCTTGTACTTTGGACCTCCGACAATTTGAAGGACTGGGAAGTCGCGAGTGAATTTGGGCCATTCAACGCCGTTGGTGGGGTGTGGGAATGCCCTAACTTATTCCCTCTCGCCCTCGACAACGATGCATCGAACATAAAATGGGTCTTGGTGTTGGGACTCAATCCTGGAGGACCACCAGGCACAGTCGGGTCAGGAACACAATACTTCATTGGAGACTTTGACGGAACGACTTTTGTTGCCGATAATGAGAGTGTTTACCCGGGAAACAAGACCGCGAATTGGCTGGATTGGGGTCCAGACTACTACGCCGCTGCTACATATAACGGCCTGTCTGATACTAATCGTACTGTGATGGCATGGATGAGCAATTGGCAGTACAACGCGAAAATCCCAGCATACCCTTGGCACGGCGGAATGGCGACCCCTCGACACATGTCCTTAAAGACAATCGACCAGAAGCCAACCCTGATTCAGCAACCATATAAAAACTTGGAATCGATCGAGAGCCACACGAGAAACTCAGTCTGGAAGTCATTCGCTGAAGGAAAGAAGGATCTCGGCTCTGTGGGTAAAACGCTAGATATCGACTTAGAATTCTCACCCTACGATGCAGCTGAGTTCGGAATCATTGTCCAAGCGACCTCTGACTGGAAGCAGCAAACAAGAATTGGCTACAACGTTACAAGCCAGCAGATCTTCGTGGATCGAACAAAGTCGGGAGATGTCTCTTTTGACGAGACCTTCGCGAGGGTATACCATGCGCCATTAGTTCCGAGTTCCGAGGGAATTGTACACCTTCGGATACTGGTCGATTGGTCTAGTGTTGAAGTGTTTGGAGGCGAGGGAGAATCGACTCTGACCGCCCAGATATTCCCAAGCAGAAATGCGACTTTCGCGCAGCTATTCTCGCATGGCGGACAAACTGGAAATGTCAAGATTGGCATCCGGAAGGTGTCCTCGACTTGGAACTAGAAAGACCATGTGCATTGAAGATAATATACACTGCAGCAAGCGAACATCGTCCAGATTCCCAAAATAGATGAGCAAGGATCTCAAGTAATGCCCTAAAAGTCCTCCGAAATTCCAGATCAAGCAAAACGAACCAAGTTCAAGTCTACGAGAGATAATTAGATATTAAGTCATGCGCATGGATGGAATATATAAAAGATAAAAGTCGGTCTGCACGTCATTTTAGAGATCCAGAGAGCGGGGCCAAATAGAAAAGGCTAGAGGTGAAGAATCTCTATTGGGCACAGTGGAACCGATGGTGCGCTCTGATTTGCGGGCCCTCCATTTGGGAGAATTGGGAGCCATGAGTGACCTGCGAATGGTGGCAATGGTTGATGGGGCCATGCGATATTCAAGGACCTTACGACATGTCAAGATTCGCATGGATGGAGAAATCGAGAGGCGGTTGCTTTGCCGCCAGGCCCGAACCCCGAGCCCGACAGCTTTGGAATCATTACTCAAAGAGCTGTCTGAAGAGGTCCTTTCAGTTCCACATATGCTCACAAAAATCTTAGTTGGAATTAACTGCTGCTTGGGGGAGAAACTTGAGCTGGTCAGACTATAAGAGCGATGTGTAATTCTTGAGAGGGCTTGGACTTTTATAAAAAGAAGTTACTTCTACTTGCCAATATGTGGAATTTACTAAGGAGCTTAAATATGTCAAATATTTGGACAAGATCGCGTACTGGAACCGCCCCACAATAATATTATTGCACTGATTTGGCGGACGCAGACGTTTTCTTGGAGGAGAAGGAGAGACGTCGGAAGGCTGAGTCTTCCGAGGCTTTTCAATGTATCAACTTCCAACCGCAGACATACAGCGGCAGTGGCAGTGAGAAATAGGAGTCCTGGAAATCTAGCTACCAGACTTTCTTTGGGATAATTATTTTCTATATTTTTGGATAGCTTCGTGGGGGTGAGCAGCGGACTCCCACAAAGCAGGCGCTAGGCCAGCTATTTCGTGCTACTGCGATTTCTCGGGAAGATAAGTAAATTTCAGAGCTGCCTACTGGCCTAAACAGGCGGCGTTTGAGAAAGCTGATTGAATCAAGCAACTATCGCAGGAACATACAGTGAACGGCTGTACCTTATCCTATGGTATATTGCCACAGGCCGGCGTGTAGAAATTTCGTAATATTTATAGCCCTGCCCTCTCTAATTACTGTATTGTAAGTACTGGCTTTAAGATATCTCTATTTACTTATATATTACTCCATAGTCTCTCCCAGTCCTGATATATTGAGAAACTCTGCTTGTCTGTAATAGCAATCTAGGAGAGTACAATTAGAGAGAGTAAGACCAATATACCGTACTGAGGATTGTGGTTGGTTCCCTCACGACAAACATCAAGGAGCATATGGGTCTGCCGTGTAGAAACAACAAGTGAGATACGTGTTTTTGCTCCCGGAGTTTGCACCCAACAGGGAGAGGGAAGGAGGGAAGGTGGTTCAAGACACTAATGCCACATGCCGCTCTGTGATAAATTTCACAAATAAGAATCTTCAAGCCTCCTCCAAATCTCGGTTGCCTTCGGTGGGACGGCAAATGTAACCTTAAAAGTATCAGCTTCTTGAGATTTATTGGCGACCTTAGTATTTGCCTTCAATACTCTCTCTAGTGAAATATTCTCTGTCTCTACAGTATCAAGCTTCTCCTTTACCTTTGACTGAGCGGCTTTTTAGAGGGTTAGGGCGTGTTGGCAGAAGAATATTCCAATAAACGCTTGCTTCAATTCTCTTGTTGGCTCCATTAGAAACAACGGAGCCTGACCCATACCGCTTGATGTATTCCGGCCTCGAATGCCACGAATCCTGGTTATTAGCTGTGAGCGGGGTATTGCCCCGAGTAGATAATTCTCTCTTTTCATAATACCCTGTGTCTATCAACGCAAAATCTTTTGATACTTGCTGAACATTTCCGTCACTGCAATAGCCGGTTAAGTATCGTAACCTCAACTTAGAGAAGCTAATTTCTATATCTGATAGACCAAAAAAACTTGGTATTACTGGCCTGGGGGGTATAGGGAAGACCCAAGTAGCTCTTGAGTTGGCTTACCGTATGTGTAATAAAGACACTGAATGCTCAATATTCTGGATTCCCTGCACCAGCCTTGAAGTTGTTGAACAGGCGTGTACGGCCATTGCACAGATAGTAGGGATCCAGAATACAAAACCAGAAAAGACTAAAGATTATATTAAGGCACACTTTAGTGAAATAGACAGGAAGTGGCTCTTGATCTATGACAATATAGATAATATAGATATATAAAATAAGAGCAACAGTACCATCCTACCACTGAAAGACTTCTTGCCTTATAATAACCAAGATCACATTATTTTCACTAGTTAAAATCGAAGTCTAGCTATACAGCTGGCTCACTCTGGCGGAGGAACGGAGATTGAGTCAAAATCTTTTGGGTTCTGCCAGCAAAGGCAATAAGCTGCTGGGCCTGGCTAAAGAGCAGGCTATGGCCATGACCCAGGAGGACGCTATCCTATAAGAGCAGGTCTTCAGAATGAAGCCAACAACCCTAAGGATTGTACGATCACATATAGCCACTAGCAAAGGCCTGTTAGAGGATGTAGGGTGACATGCCAGATGAGTGGATGTAGCCCTCCCAGGAAAACTCACCCAGCAGCTGTATGATTGATTGTCGTGGAAAGAAGCGAGCGTGCTGGCTCAACTCCAGACTGGCATAGCAAGATTAAGCGGGTATCTCTACTAAATCAACGCTACGCAGATGAATTAGTGTATATATATATCATTACCAATTAGCACTGAGGGATGTCCAGTTCATGATTCCGTGAATGGTAAATTGGACAGTGCGATATAGATTTGCTCGATAGGTTTCGATGAGACTTGGGCGCAGATTGGGGAAAGGGTTCGAATTTAAGAGATCTTTCCTTTTGAAATGTATGCCGTAGGTAGAAAGTACATTTCCTAATATATCAAAGGAATGGGCCGATAATACCAGATTGAACATTCATTAACAAGTATATACTGAAGTTGTATATTATTATCTATGCCTTGCATTTTCCTGTGAAACAAAAGCCACAGTCCTCACGACCCTGGCCCCTTTTCACATCCTGTCCACCACTTCCGTCCTTGTTTTTCGCGCAGCATTTGCCTTCCCTTTGTAAACTATATACAAAGTTAATATTCTTAAAGATATGAGGGGACGATTGATGTCTGACCAGCCATGGAAACTGTTCATCTCACCGAGACGCTTGCCCGAGCATTTATCTTCATATTTTCTCGCGCCGGAACAGCCCTTCCGCGCTTCAAGTATGTTCAATGCGTGTGCGGACCGATCTTGGCTGTATGCTTCCGGATTGGGAATCGCAAGAGCTGTCAAGGAAAGCAGCATCATGATAGAAGCGTATGAAATCTTCATGTTGGTTTGAAATGGGGGATTCCGATGGAGTAGGGTTTTGGCGAGAGAAAGTTTTTGGTTGTCTTTTTTGGGGAGGGGGGGGATAGGAAAGAGGATTTTGGTGGCTTACATAGCTCTGGCAGGCTGAGGCTGATTAGCGAGATCAACAGGAGTGTCTCCCTTTGTGGCGAAGTGTAGATCTTGGAAAAAAAAAAAAAAAAAAAAAAGGATATGGCCCACCATCTCGGTATAGTGTCCGCATACTGCGACGTAGGTAGCCTATCGAGACTTTGTTGGCGAACATAGGGAGGGCAATCTTTTTGTGAACTCCACATGATGCGGGGCTGGACAGTTCATAATTGGGTGTAGATCGCAAGATCCCCTTTCTCAAGAGATATAGAGTACCGCAACGCAGAGGATATCCTCCCTTAGCTTAGAATCATCGACGGCGCTATTGTCTTGGCACTAACATTCGGGTTGTGGCTATTAAACCTTCCAGTCCACAGCATCCTTCGATGATCCACCATGGACCCATAACAATGGAACCCAGATGCACCGCTCAAGCAACCAACAGAGGCGCGAGTCTCGGGCTGAAGTTGACAATATGACTCATCTAAGTCCCCCCCTGTAACCTGGTTATATGACAAAACAAGGATGCAAGCAAAGGTATAAGCAGGAACAGCTTTAGAGTGCCATGAAAACAAACAGCGACCAACGCCGCTTCGAGGAGCAAAAAGTACAGAAACATCATCATAACCAGTAGCTTGTATAATATAATCTCTAACGTACCAGCGGATGCATGGTTGTTTGGTCAGTTTGCGGTGATATGTCGCTCAGAATTAAACATCTTACAGCAATACTAATGAACTTATTAGTGGTTCTCACCATAGACGGCTAGCAAATGCAGGTTTTCCATACCTGGTTGGATTAACGCCCACGGAATGTATTACCAAGATGTGTTCAATCCATGATTTCTCACCCCATGACAAGATGGGAAACAGATTCGTCGCATGGGTGACTGGAAGGGAATCTGAACACTCATTTAAGCAAAAGCGAATATTCGTGCGGTGTAAAGTAACTGCCATCAATCTATTTTCTTCCCCTTTGAACGATTATTCTTACAGCACCTTCTACACAAGCAAGAGAAAATGTCTTCAACCTCTACCATTCCAACGACCACGGCAAAGCGACATGCCAGTCAAAGATCAATCCGACAGCAGAGAGAGCGTCGTCTTAGAAGCCTCTTTAAAGAGGCATTAGTGTTCAGCCAATTATGTGATGGTGATGTTTGTTTGGGCGTTCGAATTCGAATAGATGGATGATTCGTTACATTTACTGCTGATCCTTCGAGATTTGGGGTGTTTTCACGCCCACAGCTGGCAAATTACCGGGCAAAGCATACTACTAATGACAAATTAACCTTTCTAGGACACTTACTATCTGACACCGGCTCAAAAGACAGAGACTGTAAGGCCAATAGTCACCTACCCGGCCTACAGCAGGAGAAAGCCCTAGGTTAGCGATGACCGATGAACTGTGATATAGTGCCTTGCACAAATGCCCTGCTCACCTTGGACTCTTCGGGATTATTTCTTCTAATTTTGTTTGTATCTAATTAAGTCAAAGGCCGGGTAGGTGTAATTAAGTTTTAGTCGACTTTTGGATTCTAGTTCTTTCTAAGAAAATTAAGGGAGGACTGGTATTTTTTTTAGTATAGTCCTAACGACTGCTAACTGGAACTCAGTTGAAAGTGCTATATAAGCTCTCCAGGAGCTTACCAAAGCTTTTAAATAAGTTTAAACTTTACACTCTCAAGTAGAATAATAGATACTGATAAGGAAAGAGATGGAGTATAGAGTGAAAACTGTCTTCAGAACTTTTGCTAAGTTAACAAATAAAGTAGAGTTTTGGATAGCTAAAGATCCTCTACTCTAAATATATATCTATTTTATAGATAAATTAAGCTCAGATTATCGGTTTACGTCTGTGATTGATGTAGAATTTGTCGATAAGAACTGCTTAGGATAATAGTTGTGTTGGGATCCGTGAATCAATCCTTTAGATTACTCTGATATCTGTATTATTAGGTAGTTGGAATGGGAAATTAGTCTATATTACCGGTAAAATAAGTTTTCTAATTATTCCGCATAGGATAGTACTCGATAAGATTAAAATAGATGGTTTAACTACTCCTGTAGATTATATTAATCTGAGAATCGATACCTGACACTAGGAGATCTTTTCCACGGTGATCTCATAAATTAGTTCCACCTAGTACAGTACAGCACTAGTGGCTATGGAAGTTGTGCGACCGTTACCTATTCTATGTAGGAAGAAGTATAGAGCTTCTGTCAATAGATATGGTAGTCGATATAAATTAGCAAATCAATGGTCATGAAAAATGAATACATGAGGATCTGCACATTATACCTGCTTAATTATCTTAATCCGATCCCTTCTGAGCACGTACACAACCCTCTAAAACCGTAACATTTCATAAAGTTGAAACAGGATCTTCAGGAGCGATGTTTTCAACCTCCGAGATAGCGATTATTTGACTGACAGCTTCACTACCACCCCGAGTTCTACTTCCTATGCAGATAGTCCCCTTCTTCATGAGGGCTTGAGACGAATTTCATGACTGCCTTGCCCAAGAAATGCTCAGCGCCACATTCAAGTACTCGAAACGGTAAAATCACCCTGAATATGACGTCTTATCTTCAATATCTGAGGCGGTATTTTAATGATGCCAGCCTGTGAAAAGTTTATGGATGTAGCACTAGTCACGTGCGTATTTTTCACAAATACGAACTGTAGTTATCGAATATACATATCACGAGGATTTTCTTATTCTAAGTTGTCGTCGGCCTTTATACTGAAGAAACCTACTAAAAACACTACATAATAGTATTTTTTATACTGTATATATATATTAAGAGGGTTTATATAAGAAATTTAATATATGAATACCACATAAGGATTACGATTTGCCTCAAGTTCAACTTAGTTTCACCAGTACGGTTGAATGATATCTGAATTTGTAAAGCGCCGGCAAAGAACCCGTGCCTCATGCGTGTAGACATAGCCTAAGCTGCTGCATGCAGGGAAGGCATCAGCTCTATTCGACAGGAACAGGATCTTCAAATCCTCAGCGCCCTTCTTAGCTTCCTTTGACATTTCAAAGACCAAAATGAATATTCAATTTCCACCACTACCTAGACCGGTATTCATATCCTAGGCTTCTCCGTGGCGATCATCACATAGACAACTCGCTCCGGGGGCACGCAGTAGCGACGTCACATCGTAAGGGGATTAAGCTAGCATGGTCGGTTTTTCTTCTCTTTTTGTATTTCGGAGTACTTCGATCACCGGGCTTTTCCGGCTTGGTTGGCTGCCTCTGTAGTAGAACGGATATCAGTAATGGTTCGAAAATGGTGTGGACAAGCCGAGCGAAAACGCAAATCGCAGGCTTACCTCGTCTTGTGGCATCCTCTAGCAAACCGACATCCACTTCCGACCGGGGCAAGACAACGTAGCGAACCACGCTACCACGGATAAACATGTTCTTCACGGACGACAGGTGAGGGTACTTGTCCAGGTCCAGGACGTCCACATCGTCGAGCTTGATGTTGAGGTATTGGTCGACGGATTTCAGTATCCCGCGGATGCGAATGTCATTTTTGAGCTCGATAATCACGGTCTGGTTTGTGAGAGTCTTGAAGAAACTGTATTGTGTTAGACAAGCTTGCTTCTTTTATTCGATCTACCAGTCGTTGGCCGGCATACCTGAAGAAGAGCATGGTTGCGGCGGGAAGGTTATTGACAGTGGGGGTGGGGTTTCGGTGTTTATAGGACTATCGCATTGCCTCGTGGAGTATATGTGTGAACGGTAAGTACAATTGCCTTGCACTTCCCAGCGAGCAATTCGGGATACAACGGAGAGAGCGCAAAAGTGGGGGAATATAACGCCGTTGATGTGATGTTGTCAGTCGCAATCTAATCTGCTCCGGTCGGATGTCACGTGACAATAGACTTTTGTGTCTGTGTTCAGCGAGCTTGCTTCACTACTAGCTACTCGACTAGCTACTCGACCCCTCTAGCAATGACCAAACAATGTTATTCAGAGTCTACCCAATCCAATAGACGGCTGTCAACGAACGAAACAAATTTCTATATAGGTGTCTAATTCCAGGCAAAAAGTATTGTCACTTTTTATCATTACACGTGTTGTCGAAATATAGTTCCGGTATGAGCTCTGCTCTTGTATCATACATTTGCCCAACGCGCCCGAACGAAGTTATATTCCCCAAAAGCTCTCGCATAGCATGAGCTTTGGAAAAGAGTCTGGAATTTGGCGTCAATCGATCTTGTACATTACATTAATACTCGCCGCCAGGGCGCTATATGGGTATCATAGCTAACTTATATCGTTTGACATATGTGAACCAAACTAAGGACAGACCCACACAGACACAAAAACAGGGAGTGAAAGTGTGAGGGAATTCTTAGCTCTCACGGTTCTTTCGAGACCTGCTTTGCTTCCTCTGTCTCGGCTTCATCGCCCAACCGGACAAGCATGTCCAACCAGCGCCGTTCTTGCGACCCTCGTCGAAAACGCTTCCAATTCCTTGTAACAGCCTCCCCTGCTCTCGACCCATCTCAATTTGCAACTTGAGAAGCCATTGTTCCCAAATCCACCCACCAAATAGACCCGTGACACTCGCAGCATCGGCTGTGCTGCCGATCGGGCCTTGGACCGCTTCACACTCGCTGATGTGGCTCTTGACTCTAGGCTCGGGTGTCTCCCGGGGAACAGGGGAGACCGCAGGCTCGTTGCCCATTGGTAAGAACATCCAAGCTCGTTTGGTCCCTACAAAACCTCCTTTCTGCAGACGCCCGAGGAAGTTCTTCGTAGGGTTTGGGTCGTAGCCCCGCGTCTTGAGGTTGTATGTGAACTCAACCGACGTGGCAGATGCGTAAGGCCCTGCGCGCAATATCTGTGCATCCATCACGAAGAATTCCAGGTACCCCCCTGGCTTCAGGCAGCGACGGCATTCTTCAAGACAAAGGTCATATTCGTCTTGCTGATCACCAGGGGAGCGTTCGCTCTTCAATAAGGCAGGCAGTGAACGAGCTGAGATCACATCAAACTTATTGTTCGAGAATGGTAGTTGCCAAAGATTTTGCACGGAAATTTGACGGTGGTTCGCGGGCCCTTTGATACCACGGTTAACCGCCTGGTGCTCGGTGAAGACGGTGTAAACCTTGACGTTAGGGTAGTCATGTGCAATCTGCCATGCCCACTCACACGAAGCATGACCCCCGAGGTCTAGAACTCTAATGCGACCTGAACCTGATATTTGATGGTTTGCTGAGACTGACTTCGACTTAGCGAGCCTCCTGAAAGCAGGACTAGCAATCAGATGACCACCATTGAGGTACCGAAGTGCGTCCATGGCCCACATGGGCTCGCTAATCTGGGTAAGCACTAACTGCTCCTTCTCCAACATGGCGAACTGCGCCTTTTCCTCCAAGATGGGACCCACCACTGAGTCACTAGGTGCTTGAGAGAATGGACCTCTATAAGGAGGTCGTCCGGGACGAACTAATTCGTAATTGCCCAACAAACTATTTATATGCATATTAGGCAGACCCAGTCGAATTGATTGCACAGCGTCGAAGCGCATGGTTCGGTGCATGAAAGTGTCTGTCTTGCTAGCACGTCGCCGGATCGATTGGAATCCCCTCCAATAGATCGAGTCCTTGCTTGCCAGTGCAGACGGCTGGGAGCTGGGAGCTTCCGGGATTGTCTCGTCAAATCGGACAAACTTCTTGGAAACGACTTGTGCTACGGCTTGTGTCACACTCTCTGCGATCGCCATACAGTCTTCTCTTTCGTTTACCGGGGTATTGGCGGGATTTGTTTCACACAGGGCAGCAAGATAGGACGACTGGGCTGCGAGCCAGACGCTAGTTCGGTCTAGGCTTGCCATTGCCTTCTTCTGCAACTCATCTTCATAATTCTCATCTCGCTCCTCCGGATTATACATGCTTGGTCTTGCAATCTCATACACACCGTCAACATCGTCACTAACTGGGCTTTCTGCATGTTCTAAATAGGACCCCGGGTCTCCAGAAGAGATCCTGATCGCAGTCGGTGGTCCACTTGGGTCATAAACAGCTGTTAGCTGTTCATCGGTTGACCTTTGAGGGCATTCAATGATCTGCTCAACGATTTCCCCTTCGGTCCGGGTGAATGGTAGATCGTAGAACCTCTCAGCAATGGCAGATGAAGGAATGTTGTTTAACTTGGGAATCGACCAAGTGTGACGAGCCCGTGGGCCAAGGGAGGCAAAGAAGCCACCTGGGGAGGGTATACTGAGTCTACTGAAGCTATATCCAGAGAGGTCCGATGCAGGGGTCGCATCGTCAGCACTGCGTGGTCGCTCTGGCGTTTCGATCTGCCACATTTCTTCATTACTTTCAGAAGTCTCTGACCAAGGATCTGGGGTCACATCCAGCGGGATGTGTTTTAACATTGCCAACGCATCTTCAGGAAGATGCACGCCTGTGTCAGAAGGTGTATCTTCGCGGACAGGGTCAGCAATGGGGGGCGATCTCGCTTGGCCAGGAATTCGAGGGAAGTTCCCAAGAAACTGTCGCCAATCCTCTTCGGTGTCTTCGATTGCGATTTCAATACTTTGTAAATCCGATGCTGTCTCTGGATTTTGAAGATCTGCATCTTCTTCACCTTCGAGGTCCGGTCGCACAAGGATTTCATGCGGATTCCAGTCATTATCAGGAAGTGACTGGACATCTGGAGTAGCTGGAGCACTAATGTTGGAGACTTGGTCCGATGAGACACTACCATCCAGCGATGGAGGAGCATGTACGGCCGGCACAGAATGGCTAAGCAATGATAAAGCTGCTGGGGAAACTGGGATCTTTGGTGGCGGCGTTGGGGGAACTGGTGAACTTTTCGGGGCTCCCTGAAGAGACGGCCACATTGTCGGTGAGGGAATCGTAAGACTGGGATAGCGATTGCGACTAGTCGGTGAAATCGAATTTCTCGTCGTAGGCGTCACCAGGCTTGTTGGGCGAGTGCTAGAGATCGAAGTGCACTCATCACTCATCTCAGATTCCTCGTCAGTTGCATCGTACAGATCATCAAACGTTTGCATTTGATTTTGCCATTCTGTATCTGAGCAAGAGGAGGTAGTTCCAGCAGACAAGGGAGACAGCAGACGGTTTAGTCTAGACGCCAGCGCCAGACCACTGGTCTTCAACCTTAGCTGTGGCTGAGAAGCAGTCTTGTCCGGACCAGCTCCTCGGTGACGCGGGGTTTCCGAGTATTCCCCCTCGCGAGAATCCTCAATTATGGTATTAAGCCTCGTCCCTCGGGCCTGCCGAGGAGGCGGGCATCTGGCGGTTGCAGAGCGCAATGACTCAGTCATGTTGCCCTATGCGTGGTTCTTTTTCTTCTCTCTCAATAGAGAATAAGGAATTATAGCATAAGCCGATGTTGCCAAAAGTAACGTTCTAAGGGTATATTATTTCAACTGCGTTCGACACCGATCAACGGGTCCACCAGCGCAAGCAAAGGATACAACGAAGGACAGCCTAGCTCACAGAGCCGAAGGCACAAATGTTCAAAACTAACAAGAAGGAAAAAGAAAATTAAGGTAAAATGACCACAAAGAAGTAGGTGAAGATCACGATCGATCCGTGGCGCATGGCTCTGATAAATACACCCAGGTCTGAGAGAGAAAGAGGGGAAGATCTGGAGACGCCGTCCACGCCAACCATCATCTGTGCAGAAACTACTGCAACATTGCGCACGACAAGCCGGGGATCCTTGGAAATAGGCATTTCAGAGAGGCTACCATTGGTTGCTGTAAAGGCGGCGCTTCGCCCCTGAAGGACTTCCAGCACTCTGAGAGGTACAACAGAAGTGACATCCAGCATGCCGGACAGATATCACACCAATAGGTGGGGGGCGCGTGCAGAGAACGGCTCTTGACGAATGATGCTTAGCGACTGGAAGTTAAGGTGAGTGTGATTGGTGAACAACAAGCGCCGGGCGATCTATCTTTAGAACTTCTGTTGAGGGGTGTTCTGATTAATCAGTAGATCGTGGCTTCCCCACCCAACGTTATTTTGGAAAGGCGGTTAATTAATGATGGTTAGGTAGCAAGTATGGTTGTAAGACATTGTCTTCATCATCACCGGTCTCTCTGGAAAGACAAAAGTGGTCATTCCGCTCCCAACCAGCCCAACAACTGGTTGACTAATGATGTACGACGAGGTCAGCCGACCAATTCATCGGAAATTGGGCCGCCGAAGGTGAACTGGCACTAATTTAAGTCAGTGTTGAGTCAAGTCATGAGATTACCAATGATGCAGCGGCCAAAGTGGTCAACGGCATTTCTATGGCAGGAAGCTGGTTCCCGTGATCCTGAGTCTCGACCTCCGTTCAGGCATCGAAGCTCCCCCTAATGCAACCTCACCGGGTGGTCCACGTGAAAGCCTTGGCCCTAGCCCTTATCATCAATATCCAACTTGCCGGATTTGGCTGTTCGGAGTGACGTCGACCGGTAAATGGCGGTGATATCAATGGCCGGTGATTAATTTTTTTATGGGCATTTTCCTGCCTACTGATGGAGTACACATATCCACTCCTTCCCCATACCTGTGCTGTTCACACAGTCCATTCCTGATACAGGTATATAACCGGTCTTATCTCCCCATCGTCCCTTGAAGCTTATCCTTTCCCTTGACCATTGCCCCGCCGTGCCCGTCATTTGCTTCCTTTCCTTCATACAAACTCCTGAAACCTACCAGACATCATGTCCCCGCCGGCGATCATTGCCCCGTCCATCCTGAGCGCAGATTTCGCGACTCTAGGAAGCGAATGCTCAACGAAGATGGCTCAGGGCTCAGACTGGCTCCATGTCGACATCATGGACGGTCACTTCGTCCCAAACATCACCTTCGGAGCTCCCGTTGTCACCAAGATCCGGTCTCACGTTGACCGTCCAACCCAGCCCCATGGCCGGGGTACCTTTGACTGCCATATGATGATCATGGAGGTGAGAGATACCTGCTCGTGAAGCTTCAACAACCCGCACCGTTTTCGCGCATCGCCTTTTAAGCTTTCCGATTATTCCGTACAATTTCGAAGAACGGCCGGCTGATCGTCCCGTGTTTATATCTAGCCACATAAATGGGTAAAAGAGTTCAAGAACGCCGGATGCGACCTCTACTGTTTCCACTACGAAGCCGCCGTAGCTTCCGTCGCAGCCACCGAGCCTGCCGACTCGACAACCACTCGCAAGACGAGCCCGAAGGAATTAATCCGTTACATCCACGAGGAGGGCATGCAAGCCGGTATTGCTATTAAGCCAGACACGCCAGTAGACGTACTGTGGGACATCCTCGAGAGCGAAGACGAAACAGAACGCCCAGATGTAAGTGACATCATTCTTACATAAAAGAAACCCCCGCAACATCCCCCCATAGCTTAATCCATACTAAACGAACCTCCTCCACAGATGGTCCTAGTCATGACCGTGTACCCGGGCTTTGGCGGCCAGAAATTCATGGCCTCCGAGCTGCCCAAGGTGCAGGCTCTCCGTGAGCGATACCCTAATTTGAATATCGAGGTTGATGGCGGACTGGGGCTCGGGACGGTGGACCAGGCCGCTGAAGCTGGAGCCAATGTGATTGTCGCTGGTTCGGCGGTTTTTGGCGCTCAGGATCCTGCCGACGTCATCGCAAAGCTTCGCGAAGCTGTTAACAAACGCCAAAAGCTTTAAAAGTAGTTTTACAATTAGAATATGGGGACCTGTGAAATCGACGCCGAAGATGACAGCCTCTGGCTCCAGAAACGACCGCCTTTCCACCCGTAACTTCGGACGGCGAGGTGCCGCTTGACCGCCCGCTGCCCTGTACCACCCCCTATTCTGCACCCAACAATTGAAATATGCCTCAATTCGAGGACTACTCAACGCTGAGAATATGCGCAAATTGCATGGCAAAACATTGATATGCGGCACCTAGAGCACCTTTCAGAGACTATGCCTAACAGGGTTGAAGCAATCATTGAATCAGAGGGGTGGTATACACCATATTAGGGCCTATGGGGGTGCGTTAGCTAGTTATTTGGTAGAATTATCAATATTATGGAGTTTTGGTGGAGGTTTTGTGACGGCAGTATATTATGTAATTACGGAGGTGTGGGGCAGGGGGTTAAAAACTTATGGAACGTCACTGTACATCACTTATGGAACACCACTGTACGGAGTATATTATACCCCAAGGCTAAGCGACGGTAAATCGGGCGCCAGAAATGGCTGACTACATTCAACGCCATTATTTCCAGCTTCCTTTTTACCAAGGCCTTAGTCATCACAGTCCCTCTTCAATTCCGCTCGACCTACGGATACAGTAGATGCGAAGTTAACCTGAGACATCAGCATTCCAGGCCGAATATTATATGAGACCCTGGCTTGAGTCCCGAGCAGCCACGTACCTCCCCAGAAATCTTTCGAATCAACACGTCCTTCGTGAGTATAACATCGTCTTCCATGCGGCCTGTCGCTTGGTGGCCAACGAACATATCAGAATCGAGATGACTTATAGGAGACTCTGCTCACACCAGATATCCTCGGCAAAACTTCTCAGCTCTTGCTCGGGTATCACTAAGTCTCTCTCCAGGGGCTGGTGAGGAGGACGGCCAACAACCTTGTCGAAGGGTAGATCCAGCTGTGCAGTAGTCGTAGTTGTGCCATTCATGTAGGACTCTCCGGTAACAGAAGTCGTGTTATTCGTTCGAGATAATTTGAGGAATGCAGTACGACGCGCTGAAAGAGGGGATGACCTTGTAAGGACGACATATCCTCGGGGAGCAAGTTCCCATCGGTGCACCATGATCTCGGGATTTTCGCATTTAATGCTGATCGTAACCACAAGTTCCACAGATGAGGAGTAAGCCTCTAGCCAACCGCGCGCATCAAGAGCAAGTTGTCGCTCAGATTCTGACAATCCTACTTCCACCACAAAACTCAGCCTTGCATTTGTCGAAGCCGGAGCCCAGCAGCAGTCAGCCTCCTTTTTCCAATTTCCAACCGTAACTGTTGTCGAACCGAAAGGCCTCACGTCACGATGGACGTTCATCGCACGCAGCTCGAGCGAAATCAGCGAATCAAATGATCTTATTGCAAGTTCGTGTGCAGGATTCGGCATGACTTTCGCGATCAAAATTCCCGTTTCTGCATTGAAAAAAAATCGACTGTACTTGCTTGTTCGCGACCCATCATCACTCAGTCTGGAAGATTGCGCCGGGGGAACAGACGTGAAGACGAGGTACTGATCCCGAGTTTGATCTTGCCGAAGTTCTCGTTGACGGCGTTCCAAGGACTTTTGTAAGCTCTCGTTGGTGGTGAATGGTTGCTGCTTCACATCCTTGGCCAGTAGTGCAAGAGGATCCTCAGATGAGACCTCAGACGGTGAAGACTGAGACGCGTTCGAGGTGGATCGAGGGAGGTCCATGGTGGGTGAGAAGTAGGGTAGTTAGAAGGCAGGCAGCTAGAATAGGCACTCACGACTGATAAGAAGGGAAAGGCGGTAGAATCCATTTATGCCTGTGGTTATATTGATCGTGACTCGGGATTTGCTTTGTCATCGGAACCTGTGTACCAGAGTTTTTGTTGACTACGAATCGGAACTTCATCTTGGATTTGGTTTAGTTTAGGTTGTGCTTGAGGATCATCACCATCTGTAAGAGACCCGGGGGGGGGGGGCGTTGGAAGAACTGTGCATCGTTTCTCGTTCCTAGTGTGATCTGCGCTTTTGCCTTCTTTATTTCTTCTTCTTTTACTTTTTGAGTTTGGACTGTCAATATAACCTCATCGGAAACTGGTGGGACATTTCCCCTTTGCCCTGGGTTCCAACCATGTTAGTACTAGTTTGTGGTAGTTCTGAACTGCTCGTTGAAGTTGAATCGGTTGTGGTGAGATGACCTCATGATTTCTTTTGACCTACCGTGACAGCGTATTGGGGCGCTAACCCAGAACTGGCAAGACTAACCGGATATAGTAATTCACAGGTCCCGATATTACTTACTACATATTCCATGTGACACGATAGTTTAATCGCGCATAGCCCGTAATGGTTACCCTTCTTTTCTTTTTCTTTCTTTTTTTCCCCCTCTTTTCTTCCGATTTTTCTCTTCTTTTTACCTCGCTTTGGAGGTTTCTATTGATCCCAGTTTTCGTCTTGGCTTTAGACCATATGATGGTTTAAAAGGTGGGCAAGGGTTGGTATACGGTAATATCCAATACAGCGGGTATGGAGAATGTACCTAGATGAGTTTGCATAGACTAGTAAATACGGCTAAATGATGAACAAGGATTACACAAAATTTTGAAATTCACAATTATCGGATTAAAAATGACTGATATCAATGCGCTGGTATCTTTACAGGGTAGTAGAAAATAAAAAGAAAGGAGAAAGAACAGGGCGAGTAAAAGTAATGTCGGGCGTGTCCATCGTATCATAAAGCAATCAGCAGCAGTCCAACAAAGACCTATCATGGGCCATTCAATTGGAACCTGGTCTCTTTGCCTTTCGATTCATAGCATCCTCGACATCCTCGCCACTTTCTGACTCTTCATCAATGGTTTCCTCCTGACCAGCTTTCTGCGCCTGGTCGTCGCGCAACGACTCCAACATCTCTGCATGACCGCCAGAAATCGACTTACGGATATCCTGAGCGACCTTTGCTTTTTCCTCCGGGGACGTGGCAGAAACGATGGACCCACGATGATGTTCAACTAATCCTAGTGCTTCGGCATTATCAGCATGAAAATTGGCAGAGGACACCGCGGCAACCTCTGGCACCAGAGGTGGCCGCTTTGGGTTGCCCCCCTCGACGATCTCGGGAGCAACCGATGATTTCCGACGTACACTATCTGCGCCTCCTTCCTTTTTCTCCTCGACGGCAGCAGGGAGGGGCTGCTTCTGCCCAGCAGCTGGAGTCACCTTCTCAGCCTTGCTTTCTTTAGCTTTGGCGGCGGCCTCCTCGCTAGCCTGGCGCAGAGCGACCGTGATGGAGTCGTCTTTCTGAGATTCCTTCGCGGGCGGGTTCTGGATCTTGATAGTACTCTGCTTTGGTACCGAAGGTTCTGATGCGGGCGTGGATACAGCGGATCCAGCCTCGGGTTGGGTGGTCACGGTACTCGTAACAGGAATACTATCACCAAAATCTTCGACGCTGTTGACCTGCATTCTCAGCTCACCATATTCGTTCCATTCTTCGATCTCTTCCAGGTCCTGTAGGGTTCCACAATCGTCAGTCATACGTGATCATCGCTCATCATCCCCTGACTGACAGCTAAATTCCACAGCATATAGAAAGGAGGGGTAAATGGAACAAAGACCACTTACGCCGACGACTGTGCCAAACTTCACCAGACCCGGCAACTTCCTACCCTTGGAGCGGCGACCCCAGAGCTTCCGGGCTGCGTCATCGGTGGCTACATCAATTGCGCGGAAAGGGAGTTTGTTGGCCTTGAGGATCGTCTCCAATCGTGCAGTAGCGGTGACGATATGGGACGACCCCGCAGTAAGGGAGGTGTAAAGATAAAGGGTCGAATCGGACATGGCGAAGTGAAATCGGAAAAGTAAAGAAGAAGAAAAGTGCCCTCTAGGTCGAAGGGCTAAGGTTGCTCACAATACAGTGAGGAGATGGTGATAATCATTCAGGGGGAACGATGAAAAGTGGCATGGGGGTTGGAAGCACGTCCCACCAGTGTTTCTTCTTTCTCCAAAAAGACCCTCAAATTAATTGGACTCGTTTTCTGCACCGTATTATGACGTGGCTGTTGACCGCCCACGCGAAGTCACGTGCTAACGAGATGCCAGATATAGAAATATTCAAGCTAATATATCTCTCATCCACTGGCTGGCACGAAAAAGAAGAGGGAAAACGTTGAGAATAGGTTGAAACAGGAGGTCCAGTTTTTATATAAAGACCAGTGGTCTTCTTATGTCAGTGTCCTTTGCCTCCAGTCACTCTCCCCGCCGTTTGGGAGGAAATGGGCCCCGAAAGTGGCAACCTGACGTCAGCTGGGCCTCTTCCCACATCCAGAAACCAAGTTCTCAACGGTGTTTTGAGGTCACTGCAGAATAAATGGCTTTTGTCTATTATAAGCCTGTGATAAAGTATTCCAAGGTTTTAAATGCTGGATAATGGATCGTTTGTATAGGTTTTATGCCGTTTGTATGTAAAATTTCAAGTTACCTCGATATATATATCTCTGGAGCTCGACAACAGTGATATTCAGCATAATCCGCATACCTTTCTCTTGCGTAGAGCTAAGTCTTAAAGTGGTTGCTTGCAGCAATAAAAAGGCTTTACACATATACAATCTCTACATATATATTCCCAGATAAGAGCTACAATGCTTTCGTAGCTACCTATGTTAGCCATTCATCATCTACAGCGTAGGCCTCAGATTCAGTATCGACCTCGATCTTGCAAAAGACTGATCCGTATGCTTCTCATCAGATGATAAAGTCTCCAGGATCTCTTCCAATCTCCCTGTCGGCACACTTAAGCATGCTCTTCCCAGTGTTTCAGCGCAAGAACTACTCTGGGAATTCTGAAAAGGCATATATCTAATTATTTACCAACATAAAGAAGGCACAATACACTGTTGGCATGACCTCGCTCTACCAAATACCTGGCACATTATGCACAGAGAATCGGTATCCTACAATGGACTGTTGATCAGAGGTCCTTGATCAGATGCTTGACCGAGTTAAGGTTATGCGCTATTCAGTCCAATGAACATAGCTAAGTCATTATATCTTTAATAGTTAACAGCTTGCCGAGGTATTTGAGCGTGTATAACATGGAGACTATTAGTGTCAGTGCATAGTATTACAGATAGTAGACAATAGAAGCTGTTTTTGAGCTGCTAAGTGTAGACATTTACTGATTGCACTACATTCCTTGTTGAGACTATAGTGGAGGTGATATAGAAAGCAAAGATAAGAAGGGGTCGTCACATCTGATCATGTGTAGTGTAGATCTATAGCGGTCACATAAATACAGTACCCATGATCTGTGTTGGGAAGAAAGTAGCTCAGTCGTAAACGATGCGGATACATGTGGTTGGATACCGAGACACCACGAACTCTGCCTGATTTAGTGAAGTCTGAGTTGACTGTATTGCAGTAAGTTCAAACTTTCAACAATGAAACTCTTGGTTTCGGCATCGATGAATAAACGTAGCGAAATGCGATAAGTAGTCCATAAACTATCTATGCATGAGGGCTTCACTGCTGGGGAGCTGGCGGTCAGTTATCTCTGTGTACTCACAGATAGTACTCAAGAGTACTGCTACACTTGTCGGTTATTGGTTTGGTCACGACTCAAAGATACTGTCATGTCGAAGTAATGCTCCGTCGTACATTAAAGGTTGGAGATAATGTGCTTCATGCTTGGAAGGTGTCTCCCACGTTTGGGTATGAGGAAAGAAGCTATACCCACTCTGTACACATGTTTAAAGTGGTTGACTATAACCTGAGTGAATATAATGTCCATTTTATGTCTTTTATTACTTATTTAAATAGTTGTTTCAAAGCTTGCGACTATATACAATAGTGCCCACACATATTTGCAGACACAACCTTATTCTTTGTCTCCTACTGCTTTTACCCCTTCTCGCTATTTTTATTTTTATTTTTTCTTTTCTTTTGTGACTCAAGGTGTTTGAGTGGTATTCCCAAGTAGAAATTAGCCTCAGTACCACTATTAGGACCCCAAGCGGCGAGATACTAAGGCGCTTCGCATAGTATACTGCTCTTCGGGGAGTCGAGTATCATATTGAAGATGGTTGCCGGCACGATGCCACGAACTAAATTACTTGACAAGCTCTAGCTGCTCTGCTCCGTACACTGTGATCCATTATCTCTTGTCGATGATCTTCGCCATTAGATTTGCTAGCATGGCTTGAAGACGCCATATACGTAGTGTGATTAAGAATAGGGGTAGTTGACTAGTACGATCTCTCTCGGAGCCGACGAATGAGTTGATCCACATGACGCAGAAGGAAAGTGCAATACGAGCTCGTGTGAAGGTGTCTACTTCGCACATGGTCGCATAGTTCCAACTAGGTTTTCTGGACACTCGCAATCCGAAGTTTAGATTGGTAACTATTCAAAGAGGTAATCTCCGAGCACGCTAAATTTAGGAGACAACCGTTGAATTCCTCAATGCGTAACGGGCTCAGAGTGTTGAACGGTTCGCGGAGAAATTTCGGGCCCTAGTCTAGTAATTACCCTCCTGACCTTTTCGGATACAGAGTACATGATTTGCTATCAATAATTTTCTGTAAGATTATCGTGCCTCTAAAGGAGTAGGTAGGGTGTTTTGGCAAGAAACAAAGCTAATGATGATTCAAATGAAGGTTTTCTGAATATTAAGCGTTCTAAGGGAACGTTGGTTCTGAATACCCTGATTGAAGAGCACTACTAAAATAATGATGTAATCTCGGCCGTGCCATTGAACACGATGGGTTAGGTTAGGCAAGTAGATAGAACTTACTGACCTGCAAATTCAGCCGAACTGAGGTTGTGACTTTGACCTTCTGTCGGTCTTCGCACATGATCTGCGGGGTCATGAATCGGGTTTCTTGTACGATCAATAACGACAAGTCATGGCGATAATACTATCCTTGGATATCTCTCGCATTTCTGCCTACCTGGCATGATTATTTCGCCTCTCTTCTCGACTTTTACTGGGCTCTCCATTTTCATCTCCATGCAGTGGCTAGATGCTGCGCTTTTGTCGCTCCCGATGTCAGGCCACAAGGCTGGCATTCTGACAGATGTTCCGTAGACAACCGATCAATCTAGGTTTTGGCATTGAGGCCTGAGCGCACCCTATCATCATATTCCATTAATAAACCAAGGCCTACGTGATCAAATACAACTACTCTGATTTCTGAAACCTTGTCCAGTCCAAGGCTTTCTCTCTGCCTGGAGAAGACTCAAGGCTGCCAACATGTGTTGGACGCGTCATCGACAGATATCCTGTTCAGAGAACTGTAGGAATTATGGCTGAACTGTCCTGTGCCTTACCACCACCACAACACCCAGATAAACCTGGCGCAGTGGAAGTGGCTAACTGAGGCGCTCGCCCGAGATACCCAAGTGTAAGGTAGCAGATTTCCAAATGTGGCCATGAGCATCGAGGTGAAAAAGGTTGTGCCACTTGAAACAGATAGGCTTGCGTCTCGGAACCTTAACGAAGCTGCTGAGCATGAAGGTGGCTCTATAAGAGCGTGTAGTATGTATCCGACATGGTGGTCAGCGTGGGGCGTCGCAGAGCCTGGCCAGGCACAGACAGCCTTTTGCATTGATTTTCGAGAGCTCTTGCGTTCGAGATATCCTCACACGCATACGGAGTCTGTATCCGATGTTTGAGCAGTCTTTGACTCACTCGCCGTCTGCAGGGATCAGAGTAAGGCACAGACTGGTATTGGGCATTTGAGAATGATTTGCTGTCGTAGGTTCAGCTTTCTGAGGAGATAATGGTACTGCCACCTGCTTTCTTGTTCGGGTCGATCAACATCCGAGCGTTGGCGCATTGCCTGGAGAACGTCCTGCGCACTGATTGTCCCTAGGCCATTGTACAAATCATCTAGTCAGGAAGGTATAATCGACCCCAACATAGGGATCTAGGTTCCACCAATGAGTACAAGATACGAAGTCAGACCACACTGCACCTCTCTAGCTCATGAATCAGCACCTGAGGCACCTAATTGCACCAGGCACTCGGATATGTATGACATTTACTGCTAGTATGTTCTTCGACGAAGTGTAACCTTAGACTTTCCGAAGTGGAGCGCTTCATGACATAGTACGCCTCGGGTTTCCATCTACGTACCTTGTTCTTCTCGTTTACCCCTCCGCAGACAGCTTCTAAGAAGATTCCTTGTGCTTCGCTCTTCACTACCTACGCGGGACGGTCCAGGATTGGTACCTGCCTGTGTAGGTGTAGATGCATAAAATCACAGATAGTGAATACTAGTGTACCAACGCTCAGAGGTCCTGGCCCTATCATTCGACTGTGACAGGACAGACGGCGATCCCTGAGTTCCACTATAGCCACGTCGATCGTCTATTTGTCAGATGAAATGATTCTTCTCCCTTCGAGGGCACGCTCCGACATTTCTGGAAGGACGAATAGCGCTAGAGGGGCTATTTTTGCGATATTGTGATCAGGTACGTATTGGACACCATACCACCATGAGATTTGTTTGTACCTTACATTTCTTTCTTCCCCCTCCTCCCTCTCTCGTGGTTGCTGCTAGGCGATTGGGTTGTTATGGATGTATTGGATGATAGCATCTTGGCTATCAATCTGCTAAATGGGAACGACTAAGCAGTGGAGGAGGGGATAGTCGGGTTACCGGAGAATAATTAGGTTTTGTTCTCACCATGAAAATTCATCCGGTAGGAGACGGATGAACCCCCACTTCATTGTAGTGACCCGATCATTCAGGGTACTACTTAGTACTCACGAAGGGGACAAAAAAAAAAAAAAAAAAAAAAACTCATTAAAGGTGGTGGAGCAGTAACTAAGAGGCTGCCGCGGTTTTCTCGAACATTTCGTCATAGAGGGGTAAACGTTCTAAAGCCGGTGAACAGCAATTCAGGTACAGATCTGATCCGAGTGTCCTCAGATTCCTTCTAGATTAAATTGAGTCCGACGGTATGAATAATGAGGAGAGTTTACATGGCCAAGGAACAAACGAGAGCCGAATCGGGTATGTGAAGGGACTGAGTCACACGTTTTGGCACATGGTATTGGCTACTAAGAATGGATATACCAAGACTCAAAAAAGCGGTGACCTAGCTGTGGATTGGCGGTGGATGTCGGGTTTCCTACAGATGAAACAACGGCGGGCTGGGGGATTTTTCCCTGACCGCTGGAATCGCAGCGACCACTGCATCATAGTGGGAGGGAAATACTTGAAACTGCATCGGTTAGTCATTATCGTGGTCGGCTATAGGTAATGAGTTTGATGATGATGATGGTGGTGGATAGCGAAGCGCTTACTAGGTATGGTATCTCTCAGGCCGTTCTACTACGGAGTACCATAGTACTACTACAGCTCCACTTTCAACTGTGTTGTTGTTCACCCGCGACTGCCGTGACCTTCTGCCTGAGGACCTGGTTGGCACCCGTTATCACGTGCTGCACGTGATCTTATCATTTACCCTGTTGGGCAGTCGGAGGAGCCCCACTCTATCCCTCGTCAAATGATCGA